AACCAATTCCGGCCTTTGATCCGAAACGGACCGCAGTGTGTTGTATCAAGAGATTAGGACAATTTCAAGGTACTCGTATTGGAAAAGTTCCGTCATTGGGGCCCTTCCGAATATAATTGTTGTCGTATCGGACCTCCGACATCCGCGGCTCAAGACCTGCTGGTGACCAGACGCTAGTGTAGGCATCTTGGCAACGACGCATTCGCCACTTATTATCAATCAGAATTGATGACAAGACAACACTCGTCAAGATAACAATTGAATTTTGCAGCCGGTTTACGCCCTTTGAATGACAATGGAAGGAATCCATGATATGTAAGTAAGCGTATTGACTGTCATGTTTGGAGCTATGATTCGCTTGCATCCTAGCTCGACCCGCGAGGGTAAGACAAACGAACCCCGCACCAACTCCATCTCCGGTGGTATGTATCATGACGAAGTTGGATAGAGAGGGGCAGCTCCTTCGTTGCGCCGACTGACTAACAGCCGAAAGTCTCAAACACATATAAACTTCATCACCCGTTTCCTGAACCCCTCCTAAATAGTTTTCAACAATCATCCCCCAATAACATCCACTCACTCTTCAACTCGCAATTACACGTCATAAGATGGGCCTCAGAGGAAGCTGCATGTGCAAGGCGGTCAAGTACGAGAGTGGTATGTTTGACTGTGCTTGACTCTCCCCCAGTTATGCCGTACTGACGATTGCATCGAGACGACGCCCAATCCACTGCACTGTGCCATTGCACAGATTGCCAAAAGGTATGTGTGATACCAACCTGGGCCGAGCAGAGGACTGACATTGACGCAGTGGAGTGGCTCTGCCTTCACCTCCAACGCCGTGGTTCCCCGCGCTTCCTTCAAGCTTACTCAGGGTACGTTACTTACATGCTTCTTTCGGCATGCCATCTCAATTCTGACGGCGGACCCAAGGCGAGCCCAAGTTCTACGACATCACCGGAGCCTCGGGAAAGAACAACAGGCACTTCTTCTGCAGCAACTGCGGCTCCAGTTTGTATACCGAGTTGGACCTCATGCCGGACGTCACCTGCATCAAGGCAGGCGGGTTGGACGACGGGAAGGCGAGCTTGGACGGCAAGCCAGCTGTTGAGTTTTACTGCAAGGATCGCGTTTCGTACTTGACGGATGTCAAGAGCGCTGAGCAGAAGCCTACGTTCTCCTGAGTTTGTATAGTATATAAATCATTGACGAGCCCTTATGAAAACACAGAAGAGATATTTAGTCCGGCACCGGTCTACGAAGCGACAACGCTGAGCTTCCCCTGGTTCGTACTCTGAGTTTATGAGTAATCGTGAAACTTAGTGAAACCTCGACCTCTTGGCTCGTCCGTTAAACCTGAAACTTAGTTAGCGGACTTCTTCCAACTGCGGAATTGCCGTGTGCCTACTGCTCGACGGTCCGTTTCTGGCCCGCCTCCTCGTTATCCTTCCACTCGTCCCAGTCGTAGTCATCCCTGCCCTCTTTACCGGCCCCGCGGAAGAGCACTTTGACTTCAAGCTTCTCGTCGAACCTCTTGTACGCCTTGGCCGCGTCGCTGAGGTCAAACTCGGCCGTCACGATGAAGCCCGGCCTGGCATGTCCGCTCTCGACCAGCTTTACCAGCGCAGCAAACGTGTTTCTGCCATCCACGATGCCGGCTCGTATCGTGAGGTTCTTGAGCCAGAAGTCCGAGATGGGGAAGCTGATGTTCCTCTTTATCTTGTCAGCGTTCGGCGCACCAGCGCTCTTCTGCTGCGCCCAGTGGACGCCCGGAACGCCGATACCTCCGCCGATGGAGGTGATGGCGATGGCCTCGCGGATGATGAAGTCCTGTTGGGGCTTCAGCTCCGTGTTGATGCACTCCTCCCCGCAGCAGTCAACGCAGCGGTTGACGCCTCCTGGCTGGAGAGCCAGGATCTGCTCCGACGCGGAGCCGCCCTTTGTGAAGTTGATGGGCACGGCGCCGATGCTGGCAGCCTTCGCGAGGCGCTGGGGGATGTGGTCGATGGAGTAGACGACGCTGGCGCCCCGGATGATGGCACTGTAAGCGCAGAGGAGGCCGACGGGCCCTGCACCGAAGACGGCGACGGAGTCGCCGGGCTGGAAACCCGACCAGTTGAGGCCCTCCCACGCGGTGGTGAAGATATCGCTGATGAATAGCCACTCTTTGTCGGCCAGCTTCTTGGGTATTTTGATGAGGGTGTTGTCTGCGAAGGGCACGCGGGCATACTCGGCTGTAGAGCAAGTCAATATCATGTTGCATGGATAGCCACGGCCCAAGTAAGATAACATCAGGTTTCTGGAACCTTACCCTGGAGTCCCCCGAGGTCACCAAAGTCTTTTCCAAAGCCGAACCCGGCAAAATTCAAAGAGATCTGGTTGTCGGTGTTGATCTCGCCCTCCTCGTCCTCGGCCCAGATGACCACACGATCGCCGACCTGCAGGTTATCGACAGCGTCACCTACCTCTTCGACAATACCTATGGCTTCGTGGCCGATGGGAAAAGGAACCTCTGCGCTGGAAAGGATGCCGTGGTAGGTGTGTAAGTCTGTGCCACAGATGGCCGAAGTAGTGATGCGGACGATGGCGTCCTCGGGAGCCTTGATGCGCGGCAGCGGGATGCCGGCCTTCACAGTCACTTCAAAGGGCTTGCCATCCCAGAACACGGATCGCATGGTCTTGGGGCGCGAGGCGTGATGGTCCGTCATGATTGCTTCTTGTTGTATAGCTACTAAGAATGTAGTGAGGTTGAAAGGTAGAGTTAATGCCACGAATTTGTCCTTCCAAGTTGGAGAAAGATGGTGGTTTTATACACGAGAGTCCGGCGAAATAGCACTCAGCATTCGCGAGGTATTTTCAAAGGTTCCCACCGGGATAACTATTGAGGTGACTCGTCTCTCCAAATTGTATCCTGCGCGTTGCCCGAAAGGTCAGATGAGACTAAGCCACATTTTCCTTGTGTTCAGAGACATATAGATGGAGGCACTGGAAAGCCATTGCCCGATTTACGCTGCGCATTGGGTTAGAAAGTAAGCCTTTCAGCCCCCGACTACACCTTCAGAGCAGCAACTCGGATGAAGGAAGCCGAACTTTGTCAGATGACATTCCTTGATGAGACTCAAATTCCTGCAGCTAGTTTGTAAATAGCCTTTCTAAACTTTTCAAACTCTCTAAACCCCAGGTAGAGCTGACCCGACTACGGTTTCAAGGTAACGACTCAGATGGAGGAAGCTGAATTTTGTCAGATGATTTTCCTGATGTGTCTCGAATTCCTGCAGCTAGTTTGCAAGTAGCCTTTCCAAACCCCGAGTAGGGCTGACAATGACACACGCGGCCCCTACAGTGCCAGGTCCAAGTAAGCTTACGATGACGTCTATACAAGAGGGCCGATTATCCGAGGCGCATGAACAGCGGACGAACCGCATATCCGAACAGATTCCTGAATGGATCTCGCGGCTGACTTGCGCTGACCAGCGGACGGATGATGAGCTATTTTAGTCTGTTCATCTAAAATGCCGTTCCTCTCATGGCAACTAAGGAACCTTGGATAGATGTGAGCACGACGCATTGTCCTTCATGTGTGCTCTCTTCTTTTCCAGCGTCCTGCCTCCCCCAAATCATCAACCTTGCCCTATATGGTCCATTCGAAGACGCGTGCAACTAAGACAAGGAAGACAACAGTAGGAATGAGACACGGACTGATTAAATTACGGAGATGACATAAACACGGGCAGTGAGATAGGAACGATTATGGCCATGATGGGAGTAGACCTCAACGCCGACTCTGCGTGTTGAAAGGAGAAGATTCATCACACGATATGTGCCTGTCGTATGATGTGTTACGTGTCTAGAAGGGGGGAGATTCCTTCAACCATAACGGCCATAGCCGCGTGGATCTATAGTACAGATATGAGTAATCCATGAGCCTTGAGCTAAGCTAGGCGAATTGAGGAAGTCAGATGCGGAATCCCACGCGTCCCTTGGTGAAGGCTAGGGCGAGCCAACCGGCGATGAGGGAGAGACCTCCAATCGGAGTGACGGGACCGAGGAACTTGAGATCAGGGTTGAGGATGAGGGCGTAGATGCTGCCGCTAAACATGGTCATGCCGATGGTGAAGAGACCGGACGCGACAGGGTTCGAGCGAGCGATAAGCAGAGCGACGGAATGGACGAGCTGAAGCCCGGGTCAGCTGAGATGACCTTACCTCAGTGGCGTCTCCGACATGAAAGTTCGATCACGGCGCCCGGACGTACCTGATAGTGGGCGGCAGTCGTCCAGCTTGCAATCTTGGCAGGATCGGAGATGCGGTTCTTCAGGCCATGGGCTCCGAAGGCTCCAAGACCGACGGCGGTGGCGCCGAAGATGGCCCCGACTCTCCAAAAGACCTGGCTGCTCATTGTCTCTTCTTCAATTGCCTCGGGTTGCGTGCTTTTGGATGGAAGGAGAGATGTGACCTCGTTTGCTGGACCACCGGACATGAGGAACACCTATAGAGCGAGCTTTGCGATGGTTCGAGATGTGAGGTTCGAAAGTTCACTAGCTCCCTAAGTGGTGTCACGGTGATAAAGAGCGCTGAGGCCGACGGGCTCCACATGGCTCTCTTCAGGCCTTAGGTAATCAGTCACGGGATTCCATACTCGTTAGCTGTCTGCCTCTGCCGCTGCAGGAGCTTTTTTTTTTTTTTTTTTTTTTTTTTTTTTTTTTTTTTTGCACAACGCGGCTCGGGCAATGAGAGGACATGTTCCTAGAGAGGTCCAATGTTTAGACAGAGCCACGGACGATTTTCTTGATACACACTTGATATCGTGAACTTGGGCAACTCAGGCCTGGCCAATTGCAATTGCATCTGCTCATGTCGACCCGGCAATTGTGGATTCACGGATCTCCCCGCACCGAGTTCCCATATGCAGGCTTGCAACTCCACCAGGGTTTGCCCATCTCGGCTGCATGATTCCACACACACTAGAGCCACTTTTCACGGCCATTGCTCAACAGTAACATGGTCTGGTGGTGTAGTTGGTTATCACGTCAGTCTAACAACTCGAGGACATTTCAAGATATCCTCACTGCACACTGAAGGTCTCCGGTTCAAGTCCGGGCTAGATCATACTACATGGGCGATTGGTTTAGTGGTATAATGACCGCTTAGCATGCGGTAGGTCCAGGGTTCGATTCCCTGATCGTCCATTCTTTTGCATCTATTCATCAGTCTGCTACGGGTGGAGTAGTTCCTTTTGCGGGTTCAAGTGATGGAACGGATATTGATTGCCATTCCCTACAACACGGGGCGTCACAACCGCTGCGCAGCGATCATGTGAGGCAAACTTAGGTAATTCTTGTGTTCCTTGTTGTTCAGCGGGAGTCGTTCGCTCTGTGATGCTGATCCCTCTGATAGACATCACATAACTGTGAAACCGACGATGGGCGTAAAAAGTTGCGCGGGCCTTCTGCCTGAGCGGCCTGATTGATATTTCAAGGCCGGCACGGCATGCATGGAAGCCATTGAGAACTTACAGTTCATGTTCAACTATCAGCGAAGAATGGAACCTCTGCCATGTCGTTGGCACAACACGGTACAGGAATGGTCTTCTCAAGTACCAAAGGAGTACATCAGTCTGTTAAGCCGGTGTGGGCACAAAGCACTAGCTGTACCTGCCTACTGGTGTGCTCTGATACGCCATGTCAAAGATGTTTTGGGTTTTGCTAACGCTGGAAGGACTCTTACCGAGTCGTTGGATTATCTTGGACCAAATGGCTCCCATAACCACTGAAAACGATAAGTACTCCGCACGGCTATCTGGGCTTCAAGCCTGATGGATTGGATTCTGCCATGATGCGACTACACGATAGGGTTATGTGTTATAAGACCAAAGATTTTAGAAACAAAGTTGCGGGAACCGTGAATGTCCCCTATACTAGCTAGTTATTCGGTGAAATGGGAGGATAAAAAGCTCAGGAAATGGTTTGTGCATTGCGCGGGCCTAGATATGCCCCGGAGGATGAGACAACATGGAAAAAGACACAAGTAGGCTATCTATCCCTTTTGCAACACATTCACTTCTTACTATGCCACGTGAAACCTCACTTTTCCCTTGCAGATAGGTAGACCTTCATCTCGGTCTTGTGCCAAGTGGTATACATCTTCTGCCTACCAAGCCACCCTGCGCTCTCTGGATGCAACTTCATATCAAAGTTCCATATAACACGAGCAAGGATTGTGCGGATTTCAGCATAAGCCAAGCTGAATGATGATTAGAAACCTTCCAAGAGTGTGAGTCTTGACGCTCAACTTACTTCTTTCCTATACAGTTTCTTGGCCCAAAGGAGAAGGGCTGAGCCGCGGACTTCTTGTCGGATTCGAACTTTGGGTCTCCGAGCCATCTCTCGGGGTGGAACTCGTCATGCGCACGGAAGTTTACGGGTGAGCGGTTGACAGAGAGGTGATGGACCCCGACAGAGTATCCAGCAGGCACGAACTGCCCACACACTGTTCTTCCGCCATCAGGAACCACGCGGGGAAATGTCCCGGGTCCGGGAGGGCCAAGACGAAGGGCCTCCTCGACAACGGCGTTCAAATAGCTTAGTCCGGCAGTGCTCTGAATGGTGATGTCATCTTCGTTCTCAAACGTCTCACGGATCTCAGCTGAGAGCTTTTCCAAAGTGTGAGGATTTTCGCAAAGTAGGTAGGTAGCGGCGGTTAGACCGGTTGCGGTTGTTTCACTACCAGCAACGATGAGAACCTGAGCCGCGGTGTACATCTCTTCGACCGACATGGCCTTCTCGTCGCTGCCTTGGAGTATGTAAGACACTGAATGGTTAGCATGCGGCTGGAATTTGGCGGTTAGAGGGGCCAGGGACTTACTGAAGTCGGGGCGGTCAGTCTTTTGCTCGAGTCTTCGGTTCACACGCTCGACTCCAAAGTTGAACTGGGCAACTCTAGTCTTGATCAGGCGACGTGGAATGAGGAGCAGAAGCATCTCAGAAAGTGGTGAGGGAAACCGGCGGGCAGCTCGCAAGTAAGTGCCCGCCTGAAAAATGTCGAAGACAGCATGCAGCCACCAATGCCATTTAGCATCTCGGAGGCAATAGAAAGGCTCGCCGAACGCAAGGTCTCCGATGATGTCAAAAGTAGTGAAGTTGTACCACGAGTTCATGTCGACGATGGAATTTGGGGAGCTCGAAGCCTGCTCATGGAGATTTTGAACGAGCAACTTTATGTAGCCAGCAATGACAGACTCCTGCGCCTTCAAGGCTTTGTCTGAGAAGGCTGGGTTTTGGAGCCGGCGCATGCGCTTGTGGCCCGCATGGTCTGCGGTCAGAATGTTTTCGACGCCGTTGACGTTCTTGTTCCACCATTGCGCATCTTTCTCAAAGTTCCCGAGTCCATCCTTATTGGGGAAACCTGTATTACCATGGGTAAGCAATCCAGCAGTCCGCGGTGCCAGAAGACATACCATAGATGTGCTGCCAAGCTTGGCCGGAAGCGTAGGACAGTTCGCCAGGTGCAATACGGACAACCTCGCCGTACTTCTCATGCCACTCCTTGACCTTCCAGTGGCTCACGCCTCGGACATCGAAGAAAAGGTAGTAAGCTCGGCTAACTCCGGCGAGCTTTGGGCCAGGGTAGCGACGAAGGGGATGCAAGAAAGCATTGTACACGCCCTTAGCTATGACCCCTAAGACTGCCTGTAATGCATTTCAAATGAGCGGTTTCACCCCCCCCTAACAGGTCCTGTATTGAACGTACCAGAAATATGACAGACACGAGAACCGACATGATGACTAGCTAAGCATGATGCAAGACCCTCACTTCGCAGGCTTCACTTGAGAAGGTGTTTGGAGGAAACAGTTGGTGCAATGAACCAAGCGTCGTGTTGGCACCACAGGATCAGCGCAGGGGTAAACAACTGCCACGAGATGTAGACTCGGCGCGATAACATTCCCAGACGAGGGTCCCTTCACTGATATGACGTAAATCGCCGTTGTCGGGTCCCTCGCGCGCGATTCACGAGTCAGATATTAGGAGTTTCCCTGTTAGGAACCAAATTGCCATATCATTGATTGATCTTTGACTAATCATCGGTTAAGCTTTCATCCAATTAACCCACCGCTAAGGTTGCCTTGTGCCGAATTACTGGGACGGATGGGCCTGGCGTTTACGAACTTCCTTTTCTTGGTAGGCTAGCGCCGGTATTAATCTGGGCTTCCGAGGTAATCGTGGAGGCGACCTGACTCGTCGAGCCTGCTAGTTAATTTCAGTAACTGCCGAACCCATTCTGTGGGCTAATGATAGGGATTTCAAAAGCTTACGTAGTAGACATTATTGGGTGTCGGAGCTGCTTGCCGATTAGGAAAACAAGATGCAAACGACGACCGCGATACTGACTGTTGCATATGTATGAATAGGTGCCAAGACATGGTGAGCGGGACGATACGAATTTCAATTAGTGGGAATAGTATTTTGGCGCTAGTTGAGTTGAATGAGTCGTTTGAGTCAAGAACACATTGTAAGTCTTGCGCAGTGTCAGGACCTCTACAACTTGGCATGCTTTGACACTTCGAGTAGCATTTGGTAACAAGACAAAACTTGTGAATTCCGAAGCCAAAGTGCGTTGACGACAAAACACTTCACCGGTAGAAAGTGGTCCGAGAATGTCTGCCGTTGTGAGACGGCTGTGCATACACCAGCCATAACAACCCTTGAAGTCCCATGCTCCGGCGATTTGGCCGCGAATAGTGGACCACGACAGGAACAAGATTCTATCTCAGCTTGACTCAGTGTGAAATGAGGGACAAGAATCAACCACTGATGTTACACCTTGAGCATGCATAGTATCGTGCCCCGGCTTGTATGCCTCCCAGGGTTCCTGGGATGAGTGGAGATATTGTTTAGCGCGGGGGGCGTGTACGGAATGTCAGCCATGTTATCCCACGAGCGGCGGCATCGGTTCCTAAACCTCCGCATTGGACTAGCCAATGAACTGTCTAGCAATCGTCAGTTATACCCGAAGATTGATAAGATAGGGTCGACCGATGAGCCTTCGAGGGGTCTGCCGGAGCGTGCCATATAGTATCGGCCTGCCTTCGGCACGTCTCCAAGGGCCCTGGTAGTCCTTCCCACTCTGCAGCAGCTTTGCGTTTCTGTCTTCGAATCTTGGACACTACCAATGGCACACTGGTATACACATCAAAAACCGCCAAGATGGGTGAGATGATTATATCGTACGAACCTTGGGATTATCTGAATTCCATTTTGCGATTCAGGGACGATGACTCCCAGTTCTGGTGGGACAAAACAGGGATGATGTTTTCAAAGCTTCTCAAGTACGCCGGATACAGCACGTCAGAACAATACCGCGAACTTAACTTTTACTCTCTTTTCGTCGCCCCTGAGCTTGGCCCTTCTCCAGACTCTCAGGGCAACGTAAGGAGATGGAGAAGTCCCGGAACACCAGACTCGACCCCCATCGACTTCAGCTGGGAGTGGGGTTGTGACAATCGCGCCGTAATTCGATACTCCTTTGAGCCCATTGGTCTTCACGCAGGTACAGACCTAGATCCCTTGAATCAGTACGCAACAAACGACTGGATTTTCAAGCTTCAGCAGCAGAATATGGTCCCTGGCCTCGACCTTGACTGGTACAATCACTTCACGAACCAGATTCTCCCTCGCGGCAACCGAACGAAGACGGTAGATCGCTTTATAGAGGAGACGACACCAAAAGCCGGAACCGTGGTGGCGCTCGACATCGAGAAGAGCGGCCCGGTCATGAAGATCTACATTTACCCCGGCCTGAAGGCGGAAGAGCTTGGCATCACAAACCTTGAGTTGGTGGAACAGTCAATTCGCAACCTGCCCCCCGAACAATTTCAGTCCCTAAATGCCGAACCCCTTTTTGAGTTTCTGAGAGAGGGCACAAAAAAGTACGACTTCGAAACAGGCATCTTGGCCATTGACTGCCTCGCTCCCAAAGATGCCCGCATCAAGGTCTACATCCGAGCGAAGCATACCACATTCGATTATATGATGGACTGCATCACCCTTGGTGGACGACTCGACATGTCAGGGGAGGCCATTGATGACCTCAAAGACTTCTGGCAAACATTCCTCGCCGATGCGCCTGACATCCTGCCTGCGGATGCCCCAGGCCGAGCCAGCCCTGGCTTCTATTACACTCTCGGAAACGGAAGGGAGATTTCACCAAAGGTCTACATTTCCCCCAACTACTTCATTAAGAACGATGTCGATGTTCTTGCTCGCCTCCGCCAGTTTTTCTCCTCCCGCCGCACAGACTCGATGATGGACAACTATGAGCAGGCTCTGAAAGAGATCTTGTGAGTATTATTCCTTGATCACAAAGCGATAAAGCATGGACTCACGCATTTTTAGTGGAAGGAGGACCCTCGAGTCGCGTTGTGGCAGTCATTACTACGTTGGATGTGCCTTGCATAAGGGGCAGTTGAGGGTGGTGACGTACCTCAGCCCTCAGTCTTTCGACTGCGAGAAAGACAGAATTCAGGGCGTGAAGTCATAACAGGATATTAGACCACCGGATGAAATCGAGTTTCCGTTATATCTCATCATACCTGAAATGCAATGAATTTCGTGGCGCTTGGATACGAGAGCTATTGGCCCTCATGCTATGATGGTTAGGAATGGGAAAGTAGGAACATAAAATGAACATAAAACCTAAACTAATCAATTTTAGGGGGACCAAATTGTGAAGTTGAGTTTGAGTTTTAGAGTTTGAGCTTTAGACTTTTGTAATTTACCACTGTAGCATTGACGTTCGCTACGTACAGTTTGTTGCGTTAACACCGTCCAAAACCTTTTACATGGTCTATGCACAGAAACCCCCTATTTTCTAAAAACTAAAAAACCTACTTTCTAGTATATCTACTTATATAAAAAGAATATAATTTTCTAAAAAATATATAAAACTAGGTATACTAGTCTACTACTTATATAAATTTACTTATATTTATAGATATTTACCTAGATTTAATATCTAAGATTCTAGAAATATAGGCCTAGATACTATAAATGCAATAGGGAAGTTTTTAGTGGTTACGTTAGTAGCGTCCAAATCAAAATTCCTAATTTAGACGCTGCTAACGTAACTACTGAAAACTTCCCTGTTGCATTTGCAGCATCTAGGCCTATATTTCTAGAATCTTAGATATAACAGCAAGCTTTAATTATTAAATTTTATAAAAAATAAATTATATAGAAAAGGCTATAAAGTATATTATAAGATTATTCTAGATTTATAGCTAATACTTTGAGGCTAGAAGCCCTACTTTTGGCTTTTTTGGTTTTTAGAAAATGGGGAGTTTCTGTGCATGGACCATGCAAAAGGTTTTGGACGGTGCCAACGCAACAAACTGTAGTAACGCCCCAGCCCGGATTAACCTAGACGAAGGAAATCAAAGTGCTATTCAATAAATGAAACTGCTGAATAAGCTCTGTACATGCATGTACTCAAAAGGTAGGGGTGGATTGAAGTGCTCCTACTGTGAATGTCTTTTCTAACTTCAAAGTATCGACTATTGTATGAGCCTTATATACTAGGCTTATACGCCGTAAATCAGTTCAGACTGAGCGTGCAATGAATCATACCCGAGGTTCGAATATCCAATCTAGTTAATCTTTGTCCCTTTGATAAAGCATTCCCCATGCATGGGTTGTTATACCATCATGTGATATTTTTAATGGATGTTCCAACAGAAACATCCATATATGACAAGGGTTATCCATGTGAAGCTGATGTTAATTTGTAACTCTATATAGTTAAGAAACCCCTACGCCATCGCCCTTCGCGTTGCTCAGGAATGCAACTGTGTCATGCACTAGCGGTTGCTGCACCAAGCTCTGTCGCGGCTTTTTCCAACAAATCGCACGCTTTCTTCGCACCCCCCTGGGCGTTGAGTTCTTTTCCGACCTTGGCAGCATTGTTTGCGAAAGTCTTTTCCTCGAGCACTCTATGGACAGCGTCGCGAACCTGATTTACCGAAGGTGTGTCGGTTTTGAGATCGATGCCCGCGCCAACCCATGTTACCCTCGCGGCAGTATCTCTCTTGTCTTCGGAAGTACCTGCGCAGACGAGCGGGACGCCATGCGAGAGCGCTTGGGTGACACTTCCGTAGCCTCCATTTGTAACGAGGAGGCGACACCGCGGAAGTAACATGTCGTACGGGACCCATTCTGCAATGCGAACGTTGTCTTCGACACTAATCTTTTCTCGGATTTCGTTTGCATGTTTTGAGGGCACAACCAACAGATGTCTCTTGTCCCCCTGAAGCGCCTGGATGGCGGGGATGATGAGTGATGTGGGATTCATGGCAAAGGTGCCTTGTGTGATCCCAATGACAGAGGTTGCGTTGACAACATCGTTCCACCACGTCGGCACACCAAGGTTGGCACCCGCAACACGCGTGACCAATGGCCCGACATACTGCGCCTGCGGGAGCACAGGCTCGGGGCCCTCCTGAAATTCTAAAGAAGGACAGGACGCCTGGATATGCAAAAATGGACTGTATGAAAACGTGTCCGTTACTTTGAGTGCAGGGAGTCCGAGCTTTTGTCTGTCTGAGTTGATCGTGGGCAGTGACAGCTGTGGTTGACTTATGAGCAACCCCAGTGCAGATTGCGCAGCATGCTCGATGGGCTCCGGTCCGATGTCTGGAAGATACAAAGGCACAACCCCGAGAGTGGCATAGCGAGGAATCTCGCCCAGCTCGAAAAGCGCAGCAACACCCTGGGGTAGCGCATCGTTGAGAACGAAGTCGGGTTTGAATACTTTGAGCACGCGCCGGATGTCAGCAACTTGGGCCGTGACGCGGCCGCCAAACATGATTTCGGCTGTCTCGGCCATGTCTTTTGGGTCCGCGCCGTCCAAGTTGGCGTCGACTTTGATCACCTCTTCCGCGGGGAAGAACTTCGCACCGGAAGCGACAACTCGGGCTTCCTGAGGTGCTATGGTCGTCCAAACGACTTCGTGCCCGCGCTCAACCAGTTCTCTGGCCACTGCTTGCATAGGCAAAACATGACCGGTCGCAGAGAAGCAGTGGAGGAGAAATTTCAGAGGTTTGCGATTTGCTGCAATCGCCGCTGATCCGTCCCATGTTGAGAGGTGCATTGCGTTGATAAGCGGTGAGGTTGGACAAGCGTTGGGACGATCTGCTGGGTTTGGCGATTGGAGGAACAAACAGTCTGGCGTGTTTAGCCAAAACTGTACCCTGGTTTGGAGCAACAGTTACACTTAACAGATTTTATGAGCTTATTGATTGGTACAAGATTCAGAGCTTCTGATTCGTGGACTTGCGTTGATGTGTCAGCGTCCGTCCCTTTTCGAAGGGAGATAGTGTTGCTATGAACAGCGTTATCTACCGGTACTTTCTACCCTTGCCTATTAGAGTTTGCACTGCATGGTGTGCCTGTTCCATCAAACCACCACCTGTAACGTGAAGAGAGCGCTAATGATTCTATGGTGTCGTGCTTCCTAAAAACATTCTGTTGTGTAAAGTATCAGGTATAAGGCGCATACTCTGTTTTTCTGACTATGTTGAGTATAGTGTTGTGTGTTATTGTGGACCTGTGCAGCCTCAAGAGTACCGCCTTGGATACGTCCCTCACTGTCAGCGTCTGCGGCCAGCGGAACGATAATAATTACCTTGCCATCCCGGACATTAAGAGCCCACATGCATGAATCAACGAACATGGCGAGTCATGGGGCGGGGCTTTTGCAGGGAGCATGCTAAGTTGGCACCGGCAATCGGACAGGTCAAAACTGAGATATTTGGGACATCCGAGTGGAAAAGGGAAATAGCACTGGCCTTTTAGGTTATTAGGAACGTTGCAACATACGAGCTTTCATGCTAAGAGATATTTCAAAATGTCTCGAGCTGTCGATAAGCTTCCCGCTCCCGCAGAGGCGCGTTCGATAAAAGTCATTGGACTTGGTCCTAGCCGGTAACTACTATTGCATCATCGAGTTTTGATAGCACACAACTCATTCTTTTAATTCTAGTACCGGAACTCTTGGACTATGGCAGGCCTTGAAGACGCTTGGTTACACCCCGTTCCACATCTCAGAATTGCTGCCTTACGGGTTTCAGCAGATGAGAGCCCTTCAAGAAGCCATCATTGCCAATGACACCGACAAGCCCTTTGGCCGCAAAGAGTTCGACAAGCTCTTTGCAGGATACGATGTAAGCTCGCAATACGCAGAACTAAAGTTCTAGGCAGCTTTTAGCTAACCTCAAGGAGTGCATTGTCGAAAGTCCATGCTACCTATGTCCCAACATCATCAAAACATACCTGGAAGATCCGGATGTTAAGTTTATCCTGACAGAGCGCACCCCAGAGTCTTGGGCCAAGTCCATTGCCGGATCCCTTGGGGCCTACCACACAAAGCTTGCAAAACCGCCTTTGTCGGTCGCAAGGTACTTTGACAGTTTCATCTGGGAACTCACAGCACTTTTCAGAGCTATGACTCACAGATGGTCTGGTGGACTGGAGCCGAGTGAACCTGGCTTCGAGGATGCGCTAGCAAAGAGTTACGTTCATTAGTAAGTACCTCACGTTCTTCAAGTCCTGTCAATACTGTATCGAATTGACCAGGGAACTGATTTTGTGGAAACCAGCATGGAAAGTGTCAAGACGCTTGTTCCTCCTGAACGCCTGTTGATCCTGAACCTGGAAAATGGCTTTGGCTGGGAGGAAATTTGCACGTTCTTGAAACTAGATGTGCCCGATGAACCTTATCCGCGCATCAACGCCATGGCTGACTTCCATGTCGCTGCAGAGATAGTTGTGTCGCCAGCGATTAAGAAGACAATCCGTATTCTCACTTCGTCCGCGGTTGCCATCACTGCAATTGGTGTCTGGTATTGGCAACGGAGAAGGTAAATTCCAGACAAACGCTCATGTAAAAATCATTTTCTACGTAGTGTGTATGAGATAAGAAGCTGTCAACGGGTATTGGTGGGTAACAATGGTCCAAGGTCTCGCTAGTTAGAACATATCGTGATACAATAGGACGCAATCAACCCGCGTAGAGTCTCTCAATTCGAAAATTAATTAGCCATCTCATTGCGAATTCAACGGCTCGATCTATCGTGCCATAAACTTCGGTGTAATCTTATATTTCGGTGTTCCCACTTCAATGTCCAATACATTGTAATCAGAATGCGACGCAAGAAATCTCAGCAAAGCTGGCAAGGGGCATCATCGTCGATGAGTACTGAGAGTTCCCCAGACAGCAGTGTTTGTATTTGTGTATGGTCTTGAGGCTGATTCAGTGTCTGCGCCCCCCAAACATCAGGTTGCTTGGGCATCTTCTTTTGTCTCACTTGTCTTACTGGGCTCACGAGGGTCATATGCCGAGACCTCCACTTCAATGCGCATTCTAGGCTGCCCAAGTTTCGTGACCCCAACACCGGTCAGTATGGGCGTATGATTAGGCGTCCACTTCTTGATGTTATCGACCATTCTTCCTATGCCCTCTGGAGTCCATGCCTCGTCTACAGCCTAGAGTCGTATGCGAAAGACCTGAGACCAACCCTGGCCACCGGCGTCTTTGAGCGTTAAGTCAACAGTCTCGAAAGCTTGGTCGATTTCTTGTAAGAGATCATCCGAAATCTCTCCCGTTTTCGGATCCCAGCCCCCTGTAGGCGCAATTAGCAACGTAAAGCCAAGTATAATTTCTTGGTTTTCGATGATAATATGACCTATTGGCATACACTCCCATAACGGAGAGATCACCTTGACTTACTCTGGCCGGAGATTTTGATATTCTTACCTACACGTACAGCTTGACTGTAGTGCATCTCTTTACGCAGGGTGACGCCATAGTCCTCGTAGGAGAAGTATTTAAGCCCAGACATGTCGATTTTCGGGAGAGAACGAATTTGACGCCTGCTGCTGTCGTGGATCTTTGGTCACTCAATGTATGAATAACTTGATGGAGAGAGGTGAAGTCTAGTTAACATCTAGTCTACGATGGCTCAGGATCAATGTGGATAGCATATGTTTATTGCAATTATTACGGAAAACTGAATGGCCAAGGCTCTCAGAGCCAAGCATACAAGAAAATCCTTTTTGATAACAAGCTGATTAGATTACATCAGCTACCCCATTGAGGGACCAGGACCGGCAGGATCAATAGCCCAAGTCTGTTCACAGATAGGCAGGTCTTCAAGCTGTTCCCTTGGCGGTGGTGGGCTTATTTATCCAAATGGGGGTGGTGTGAAGCCAAGAGGCGAAGGAAGCGGATGCCAAGCTAAGTCGCTATATATCTTATGTTGCTGACCGTGGCTTTCATCATGAGAAATCGCCTGTTCTGGGCATTCTCATGTGCAAAACTTACATATTTTTTTCTTTCTTGGGACTAGAAGATGAATTCATTCAAACCTATAGATCAAAGTTCATACGAAAAGCTTTTGTTCTCCAATTATACCTTTATCAAACCATAGCTCATCTCCGAGGCCGACTACGAAGGCAAGATCTTTTGTGCTAACCAAGCCATCCCGCCCGACCAAAAAGACTTAGCCGTATAGTGGGTACAGATTAGAGGTGCAAATGGTACTAGCTCTTCTTAGTATGTACAGCGTTAATGTCGACTCGAGCACACCCACTTCTCAGCGTTGTGCACGGCAACTTGAAGGTAAGGTGCCCATAGCGAGACCAATGGTTGACAATTAACTTGCAGCAGTCTCTCCACGGAAAGAGGAAAGAAAAGAAGATAGGAGAATCGAGTTTACATTCTTGTACTAGGGCACTAATACAAAACAGACCCTCTCGAGGTCGCACAGGTACGCAATATTACCCATACACAGCCATAAAAACAGAGTAAAAGTATACAATGCTTGGCACGAATTTAAGAAAGTGTTACACAAAAACGACACCGTTAGTTGCAGCAGCACAACTAACGCCTCATATCACCTGGTGATAGAAAGATTACATAATATGAAGATACCTAACCTGTTGATCACACAAGGTTGATTATTCTACCTTTATGCACAAATGGAGCAGTTTACCATTAAATCCCTCGGAAGTACGTACTAAAAGCATATGTCCACTCCCCCAGCAATCAATGGCAAACTTTGCCACCAACGTCAGTATCCGCGAGTGAGTTGGCCATTATGACTTCGGGCGGAAATAGATCCCATGGGCCACTTAAACTGCCTCTGCCGAAGACACCAAAAGGGCGATGGTCAGCGCTATCTGGGTTCCTGACGACATTGCCAAGGTACAGCTTCTATGCCACTGCCACACTTTACTGTTTTAGTAGGTTTAAGGCGCGCTCGGCTGTGGAAAGCTTGCGCAAGCTAGTCCAGAGACGGCTTCAAGATAACGGCTCAGCCTCCAGTCGAAATCAATATGCACAAGGGAAGTGTCGCTTGCTAGTCCATCGCAAAATTTACAGATGGGAACCTGGAAGGCCCTCAGCTTATACTACATCGACAAACGACTTTAGGAGAGCCGTTGCGCTGCGATCTACTGCAGCAGGTCCAATAGAATAGGAGTCACCGAATCAGCTTGTTGCGGTTCTACCAGCTCGCTGACAGCACATCACCGTGTAAAGGGTAGTGTGGCTTGCCAAGCAGTCAAAAGAAAGGAGGAAGAAACCAATAGATGGGTTGAGCGTAATGACCCAGACAGGACGGAAACGCCAGAAATCCAACATATGAACTGACATGAACCATAGGACACTAAGCTGTTCCATGCCATGGAACCAGTTTGTGTCTTCCCATGATGAAAGCGGTCTTCTCAAATATACCTATAATCTGTTTTGCTGATCGAAGATATGAGTCTGGTTTGATGCAGAACGCTCAAAAGAGGGCGGTAGATGTCGTGACGCTGGTATATCGCCCTAACTGGGTGCGATGAATGTGGATCGTACAGAAGAATAAGAGTGTCTTGGACGGGGTTCCAGGGCTCATGGCATCGAAAGCCATCCCTGCTTATTTGCAGATGCCGCCTTATCGCGTCGTCCATAAATCTTAATATCAACCAGGCATCTGATTATCAAGAGAGCCTGGATTCCTGCTCCACAACCGATTTGTGGCAGCTCGTCAAAGAAAATAGAGAATCAACCCACGGAAAAGGTCCCATTCATTTCAGCCAACGCTGACCAAGGCACTGAAGCCTCTCAGCTTGATGGTTGCGTCCAACGAGGTGGTTTTCTTGGCTTCACTGAGCAATCTTCGCACAAAGAGAACATATGAGACGATGTCTCCAATTGGTTGGTTACGGAGAGAGCCTCGAGGGCGGAATGTGCTGTGGCGCAGTGCCAAGGCCAAGGGAGAAGGTTTGCCATCAGACATAATCTTCTTGTACATCCCACGTATCAACCTCCAATGTCACAGTTTTTATGGGCTCCGCAGATCCTTTCTTCGGTACAGGGTGAGGCAATACCGGCGGGTGTAAATTGGCTGAATCAAGAGACGCAGGTCTTTATGCCGCATTTGATTGCGTACTTTTGGCATTGCTGGCAGAAGCTATCCTCCTATCCTCAGTTCTTGTGAATAAAGGCGTCTTTAAGTACTTAGATGATTGCAGCTTGGGTGGTTATGGCTAAGGCATGATAGCGAGCGACGGTTGCTGTTACAACTGTCTAGGAGGATTCAAGTGTCACCCTTAGGCCCCTTGGGTAATCAGCCGAGAATCCCGTAAGCGACGCCTGAGTTGAAAGTTTCATTTGTACTACGACAATCTATTCGCAATTCGAGGCTTTTGCTGACCAAGATAATGGGCTTAGGATGCAAAGATGGGTGGGTGAAATGACCCAAGGCTGGCAAGAGGAGTGCATAATTGGCCAAAGGTAGTTTGATAAACTGGAGGCCCACCAATGATAAAGTGTAGATGCTTGAAACCTATTACAAGCTGTAACTAGACAAATTTCCCCTTCAATCCTATTATGCCTGTATCTTGAAGCTTTTCAAGGACGTATGTGGGTGAATACTTGCACTCACTCTCTCATTCAATGTGGTACTTATTTTGCGCAATCTAGAATTCTCTCATTTTTCGTCGTCTTGTGGCTCTGGATTAACATAAAAAAATGCGGTGAATAGTAATGACGAATATGACGAAAGGATCGAAGGGGACACACGGAATCGAAGGTTAGAGATTCAAGCCAACATCACTGATGATCGTCTTAGGTTACGATCCCCGGGCCTGCTTGATGGATTGCACGGCCGCACCCTCGTGGTTGGCATCTGTAATGTTGCACAAAGTCATTTCTCCCAGCCAACTGCGTTGGGGACCGGTAATCTAAGACAGCTGATTGCCGATTGCAATACCTCGCTCAACTCTTTGGTGCCGATGCATCTTAGACTGAAAACAGCCACGCAACCAGGCTGGAACAAGCATACATGACTAGCGCGCGGCTTGGCGACACGGTAAGATGAATTCACATACTCCAGTTGACTCATAGTAGGTAGATCCGTTAGCCTTGACGGGCGTTGATGAAATCGACCATGGCTGCTGAGGCCGAAGACCAACCCACATCCGAATCGCGGGTAATGTTCGCGAGGGTTGCCGCGCAGGTTAAGGTGATTGGTATTGCTCGCATCCGGAGTGTGGTTCTTAGCCCTAAGGGTCGGCATGGTGGCTTCGACATGGCGGGTCGACGTCGGCGTGGCCAGCTTTCCTTTCGCAGAAAACCATCAGTCCACACGGAGCGAGGGCTCAGATTCATGCCTTTCGTTGTCTCCATTCCCAGAATTCGCTTTGTGACCCGTCGGGCCACAAAGACCCTTAGGAGTGCACACAATACAAAGCGTCATCGAGATTAGAACATCCCGCCCCCCCCCCCCCAAGGAAAAAAAAACGGTCTGGGTGCATTCTTCAGGGTTACGAGTCTTACAGCATGGGCCACTATGCCATTATTCTGTTTGCTATGGAAACAACCGCATGATGCATATCTGCATGCGGAGGTCTGGCCGCCGGGGGACTCTTTGATAGAAAACGATCATGTCGTTTTGGTCTAGATGATCGGAGGCTTGTCTAGACTCTCGCGTGGCCCTTGAGCCAAGGTAGGATGGCAGGTGTGCGAATCTCATTTCCAAATTCCCAAAACTTATAACCTCTCCAACTCTTGCATCGGTTCCTTTCCACTACGATGTTTTTTTGATATTTCATTTTGTACGTCCTTGTTAAGGCTACTCGTAGAAAGAAGCTTGGGCCTGATTTTGCTTTTTTTCATCGTCTTTCCTGGAGTATTAGTTGAATCCAGTACAGATATTTCCAGCCCATGACAGCTAATATTAGCAATGCCGGAGCCGTGGAAGCTCATTTTGGCCTCGTTGCTGCTCGGGGGGAAAACTGCAGCACAATCATGCATCGACGCACTTAACAACAACCGGACCGATGCCTGCGTTTGTTACTCCCTCGAATATGTTGTCAGCTACGTGGCCTACATTGCGGTTTCGACATCGTACACCTCTAGCTGCGAGGCATTGCCGACCACGACGTCGGCTGGACTGCCAATAGGTCTTCAGGTTTTGGACAAAGTTTCTACTGAGAATTTTGCTGGGTACGTAACTCAAAATAATGGCGTTTACACTGGAACAGGTATCATAGCCGGCCCGACGACTGTGGATATAATACCACCTTCAGGAACCGAACCTGGAACACTCGTGGTGGAGGTCCCGCCGTCTTACTTCACGATATCGCGGACGGGCACTGCGACGGTCAGCCCCGACCCTGTTCCAACCTACGTCAACTCTACAAGCTTCCTCACAAGGAATATTATTTCAGAACCCCGGACGATTCAGTTGATGAATCCTACGCCTGACGCTAACGTTGCGTCTCGCGGTACAGTCGTCATTGCTGTTCCGGACCCGAGACTTTTTAGTACCGCCGAGGTAGCTTACAGCGGGACGGAAGTGTTGACCGCAGCACGAACGACGATTTCGACCATCCCCGACGATGGACTCGTTCCCGGCACATTTGTCGTTGCAGTCGCTACGACGCCTTTGCCAAACCTGTCCTACGATATTTCCACGGTCGCGTACACCGGAACAGCCGCCTTGACGACTCCGACTGTGATGTCGGTCATCCAACCAACTGGTACCGGGCCTGGAGTTGTTGTGCTTGCGGTCCCTCTGGCTGGCGTCCCCCCTCCTCGGGTGACGTCAATAATTCCATACACAGGTTCTGAGACGATTACAACAGCAACCACAATCTTGGATCGACCTTTTGATGGGACTCGTCCGGGGGCTCTCGTCGTTGCTTTGCCTTCGTCTTCCTTCACAACTGAGACGGTGACACTTACCGGCACGGAGGTCCTGACAGCTCCAACCGTTATTTCAGTAATTCCTCCCAGCGGCTCGGGTCTTGGCAGAGTCATTGTGGGCAGCCCTCTAGCACGTTATGTTGCTTCATACGTATCTTACACTGGGAGTGTTGCAATCACGAGCCCGACAACACTCTCTGTGATAAGCCCAAGTGGAACAGTCGCCGGCACAGTCATTATTGCAGAGGCACCGCAAGCCCCCAGTATCTTGTCCGATGCGTATGAAGTACAGGCGGAGTCCTATACAGTTAGTGAGGCCATCATCGGCCCTACGAAAGCCTCTACTATTGCGCCAGAAAGCTCCAGGCCCGATGACGTTCTTGTGGCTTTGCCGGCTAGCTATCAACAAGATGCTCCGACACCGTTTTTCACCTCGATTGTTTTATACACGGGGTCTGATGCCATCAACGGGCCTTCAACGCTTAACGTCATCTCTCCCAGCGGTACCGAGGCAGGGACTGTCATCATCGGTCTTCCCCGTCTCACACCGCCCGCTGGAGCTGGATCAGGCTCGTTCATCACTTCTGCAGTTCCGGTTTCCTATGTCACTGTGACCGTGGTCGAGTACGATGACGTCGAGCTCGTCACTTTGACGAGTATTCTGCCAAGCGGTACTACGCCAGGGACCGTTTTCATCGGTCCTTCTCCGACAGTGGGAGGACCGCCGGCGGTATTCGTCACCCAGGTTGTCCCTTACACTGGATTGGTTCCTATAACAGAGCCCACTACGTTGTCAATCATTCCCCCAAGCAATTCAGCGCTTGGCACAGTCATAGTCGCAGACCCTCGACCTTTCTTACGCACGACTGTGCCGTACGTGGGAACAGAGCCTTTGGCCCAGATTACAACCATTGCTGTGGTTCCACCAGAAAGTGACCAGCCTGGCCTTGTGATAGTGGCGGTACCTTCGGCGACCCCGGTAGGCCCTTCGTATGTGACATCTTATGCGGCGTACTTGGGCACGTCTATCCAAGAGCCGACTACTATCTCAATAGTCCAGCCGACTGGTACAGCTCCAGGGACCTTTATCGTGGCAAGACCGGCGGAGTTTGTTACTTCGACTGTGCCATGGACCGGCACTGCCACTCTCCCGGCTCCGACCACCATCGCCATCGTTCCCCCCACTGGAACAGAGCCAGGAATAATCTACATTGCAGACCCCACGGCCTTTGTAACTTCCACTGTCGAATTCACCGAGACAGGTTCTTTCACTGCATCCAGTACAGTAACCGTCATCCCCCCCAGCGGAAATAGACAAGGAACCATCATCATGGCTGGCCGTCGTCCGTTCATAACATCATTTGTTCAGTTGACTGGCACCTCTCCGGCAGAAGGGCCCACCACTCTGACTCTGGTGCCGCCTCAGGGAACTGCTCAAGGGACTGTCATAATAGGAGTACCCAACAGTTTTCTGATATCGACCGTTGTCTACTCGGAAACAGAAGTTTTGACGGCATCCACAACCGAATCTACAGTTTCTCCATTCGCTGCAGATCCAGGCAGGATAATAGCAGCTTTACAGCGACCAGGTCCACAGACTGTCTCCTCCGCAGAAATTTCACCTGGCTCAGCGGGCCCTGCGGCAACTGCAGGTTCTCCGGTTGCCCTAGTGCAGTCGTTCGTCACTTCGACGGTAATATACAGCGGCACCGCCATAATCTCAGATCAGTCCACACTTTCCACTGTTCAACCTAGTGGCGCGGCGCCCGGGACATACATCGTTGGAATCACAGACTTGTTTGTTACGTCACAAATCGCTTACACCGGCACCAGGTCTCTCACAGGTCCCATCCCTATTTTCACCGTTCAACCTTCGGCATCGAACCCCGGAACAGTTATATTTGCCGTACCGGCTTCATATGTCACTTCCGAGGTGCAATACACTGGGCCTACTGGGCAGCTCACAACGCCTTCCCCAATCACCACTATCCCCCCTAGCGGAGGTGTGCCTGGGACCGTGATCGTGGCCCGACCTGGCCAATACATCACCTCGGAAATCATTTTGACAGAGCCGGCCGATTCTCAAATCACGACTCCAAGTATTGTTTCCACGATACCCCCCAGCGGGACCGAGCCTGGGATCGTCATTGTGGCTCGGCCGCCCCAGTATACGACGTCCGAAGTCTTCTACACAGACCCGGCGGGTCCACAAATCACGGCCCCAAGCACGGTTACTATAGTGCCGCCGAGCGGGACGCAGCCCGGGGTCGTGGTTGTTGCCAGGCCACCCCAATATGTCACCTCTGAGATCGTTTACACCGAACTGTCAGGTCAACAGGTTACAGCACAGAGCATTGTTTCTACGATACCTCCGAGCGGGACGCAGCCCGGTATCGTGATCGTTGCTCGACCACCGCAATATGTGACGTCTGAAGTTTTATTTACCGACCCGGCGAGTCCGCAAATCACGGCCCCGAGCACGGTTACTATAGTGCCGCCGAGCGGAACACAACCTGGGACCATAGTTATTGCTCAGCCGCAATACTACCAAACATCCGAGGTGTTCCTGACAGGAATCAATGGTCCAACCACGCTCTCGACGATTCTACCTTCCGGTACTGTGTCGGGTACGTTCATTGTGGCGCGCCCTGTCGCCATTGTCACTTCTGAGACCAACACACCCGGCGCCACCAGCCCAAGCAACCTCTCGCCGATCCCCTCAAGTGACACTTCACCCGCGGTTATCGTAGGTCAGCCGGCTGGAATTAGCACCTCCGCTGTTGCTCTCGCCGATCCTGCCGCATCTACTATCACAGGACCAGTAACCCTGACCACGATTGCGTCCAGTGGCACGGAGACCAGTATCGTTGTGATCGGGTATCCTCTCCGATTTGTCACTTCAGAGATACAATACACCGGCGCAACAGAGGGGATCACAGAGCCAATCACGGTATCTACGATTGCGCCTTCTGGCACCATCCCTGGCACCATCATAGTCGCTCGCCCCGGTTTCTTTGCCTCGTCAACAATCATTGTTCCAGCAACGGACCAGCCGACAACGTCCACTATTGTTTCCACAGTTTTGCCCTCCGGTAATGCTCCGGGAACCATCATTGCAACCCCGCCTGAACCAACATACCAATCTGCTCAGCCTCCTGGACCGTTTGTCACTAGCCAGGTTGTATACACGGGCACTGCAGTTTTGACAGGCCCCACCACCATCTCTATCGTTCCCCCATCTGGAACATTGCCAGGAACGGTCATCATTGCTCAACCGACATCGACTGCTTCATTCGTTACCTCAGAAGTTATCTACTCTGGGACTGAGTCTCTCACAGTTCCCACTCCTGTGTCGACGGTTTTACCCGTAGGGACGACTCCGGGCACAATCATCATGGCTCGGCCGGCCTTCCGTGCTGTTGTAGCATCGCCAAACATCAAATTGCAGCCTCCGAGCGCCGTCCCCACCCCGGATAGCTCTCAGCCGCCTCTGAAGTCTTTCGTCACCTCACAGGTTGTTTACACTGGTACTGAAGTTCTGACGGCCCCGACAATTCTATCCTTGATTCCTCCGTCTGGCTCGGCCCCTGGGACAATAGTTATTGCTCAACCGCAAGTCACGACTGCCGCACCATTTTCAGAAAGCTCCCAGGCCTCTTCCATTTCATTCGTTACTTCACCAGAGGCTGATACTAGTAGCGAGCCCTTCTCCCCGCCTCTTCCCGCGTTCACGTTTCCGTCTGTGGGAATTCAATCGGGCCCCCTTGTCTCGCAACTGCCATCGTCACCGCCACCGTTGCTGCAAGCAGCTTTCGTTACTTCGGAGATTCTGTACACCGGCACAGAAACATTGACGAGCCCAACTCCAATTTTGACAATCCCACCAAATGGCACCGTTCCTGGAACAATAATAGTTGCCCGGCCTGTCGTATACGTCACGTCAGACGTGGTTTACACAGGGAGCGACATTTTGACTGCTCCAACTCCAATCTCGACAATCGAGCCAGTCGGTGACGCACCAGGTACCATTATTGTGGCTCAACCTCGTTTGTTTGTCACTTTAACGGTGACATACACTGGGACAGACCAGTTGACCGCTCCAGCTACCATTTTCACCGCTTTGCCTCTTGGTACCGGCCCGGGGACGATAATTGTTGCTGAGCCGCCTGCGTACGTTACGTCGCAGGTCATCTATACAGGCACGTCTCCGATTACCGCGCCGATTCCTATATCGACTATTCCGCCGGTTGGAACTTTCCCCGGAACTATCATCGTCGCGCAGTCAGAGCTTTTTGTTACTTCTACCGTCTCATACACTGGAACCGAGAGTCTTTCCCAGGCGTTGACCCTGTCAACAATCGCTCCGGTTGGGACGGTACCAGGCACATACATTGTCGCACAGCCTGTGTCTTCGGCACTGTCATTTGTTACATCCTTAGTTGTTTACTCGGGCTCCAGTACTATCACTGGAACTATTCCCATAACTACAATACAACCTAGCGGGACAGCTCCTGGCACGATTGTTTTGGCACGGCCTGGCCTCTTTGTCACATCTACGGTACTATACTCCGGAACCGAATTCCTTACGACGCCACTACCTATTTCAACTATCTTACCATCGGGCAGTCTGCCTGGTACAATCGTTGTAGCACAGCAGTCTTTGGCAAGTGCCAAGGAGCCCTCAAGCTCCTCAATCTTTCCAACGTCATCCGACTCTTCAAGTCTCTCTTTGGATACCAGCTCACCAGTTCTATCAAATTCTTTGACACCCTCGGCAGAATCAAGCTTGCCTAATTCATTGGGTATTTCATCTTCGACAGAAACCCTTAGCTCATTGGCATCATCGAGCTCGTCAAGCTTCTCTGACACATTGTCACTCTCTGCCTCGTTCAATGCTCTGTCAATCCAGGCCTCTTCTTCGAGCCCTACCGAACCGTCAGTCTCGCCATTGTCAACCACGTCCAGTGAAACTTCACTGCTAGGTTCAGTCCTTCCGAGCTCTTCAAGCACTATAGAATTTGAGGCATCGTCTGGAACTCCTACCTCTTTCGGCGTTTCGATTCCAAGCTCTGGGGAGCCGTCTACATCAACAGATTCCTCAGATAGTTCCGAAACATCTACGTCTACTCTTTTCTCTGTTTCTGCGGTCATATCAAGCTCGTTAGACTCGACAGTTTCCTCAGACAACTCAATTTTCTCTTCGTCATCAGGCTTGTCAGCATCCCCGATTTCATCAAGCTCCCTGGCGCTGCCGTTGTCACTAATCTCATTGGACTCTTCAAGCTTGCTGCCATCGCTTGGCTCGGCGTTCACTTCTGGCTCGACTACCTCCGTCTCCATCATCTCTATCCCGACTTCAACCGCAGTAGAAATTTTGTCATCTTCAGAATCGTCATCTTTAGCGGAATCTAGCATCTCATCGACATTAACTTCTTCTTCAGGTTTCACAAGCTTACTGTCACCGTTGGATGTATCTCTCATTTCTATTTCAACTACCTCTGCGCCGACATCCACCAAAGCAGAATCTTCATCGGCTTCGGAATCATTGTCTGGTAACTCCTTGACCCCTACCTTCTTGGATTCCACCACTACACAGACGGCTGTGTCCCCAACAGCTTCTTCAACGGATACAAGCGCTTCTTCTTCGCAGTTAACTGCAGCTCTGTTATCGAGCTCCACTGAGACAACAGCCTCTTCAGCTGAAACGACAGTCTCGAGCCCTTCGGCCGCTTCGAGCTTGTCTGAAAGCATCACTTCCTCCTCGCTTGCTATAAACATAGCGAGCTTACTTAGCTCAACATCCTCGTCCACTCAGACCCAACCAGAAGGCTCTAACTCGTTCTCACTCTCCAGTTTGACGACAGAAACAACATCTCAAGATACGACCATTTCAGGAACGTCAATATCCGTTTCAAGCAGCTCTGAGACAATTACTGGGTTGGTTTCCACAGACAGTAGTGTCTTCTCACCAAGCGTGTCTTCACAGAGTACATCATCACCAGCAACTAGCGACCAGAGTTCAACCAACACGAGCACGCAGATCGAAACATTTGAGTTGAGCATATCCACCTTCAGCTTGCCAGAACCTACTTCAACAACAGTTTTAAGCTCGGTTGATCTTGCTTCAATCGCGTCCAGCACAGATCTGGTAACCCAGAGCACATCTGTAGCATCTTTTAGTGTGGCCACTTCTTCTGCTACTTCATCATCGACGGAAGCTGCTACCCAATCTTCTGACCCGAGCTCATCATCTAGTCTCTCAACTTCTGAGACTATTTTAATTGTTGATGCTTCTAGTTTCTCAATTGCCCCGAGTACGTCTACTGAACAGATCACACTTTCAACTGCGGATTCTTCGACTATTTCTTCCACTTCTACAAGTAGCACAGATGCTTCAACTGCTTCCTCAGCAGAGTCTTCAACGTCGTCCATTCTGGTGGCTTCCGAAAGTTCAGTCCCTACTTCCGTGACTTCGACTACCGATAGTACTAGCACAATTCTCAGTACTTCAGCAGATCAAAGCTTGATCTCCATTGATACGTCTACATCCGAGTCAAGCTTCTCTCTGGATCTTAGCACGACATTCCTGCCTACTCCTAGTTCCACCAATCTTAGCAGCTTGAACGAAACTAGCTTCTCGACTGCCTCAAGCACTCCCACCGAGTTCAGTATCTCGTCGGACCTCAGCACGACCTCCGAGTTCAGCTCTTCAACAAATCCCAGTATTTTGACAATATTCACAGATCCTTCTACATCGACAGAAATTAGTAGCACTTCATCAGGAGCAAACACCTCGCCTGAGGCAAGCTCAGAGTCCGTTGAAGCCAACATCCTCGCCACCTTGTCTAGCACCTCAAATCCAAGCGACTCGTCAACTGCTTCTGCTTCAGCTACATATTCTACTTCTGCGTCGTTTTCATCCACTGCGAACGAGGGTGCTACACCTATTGGGCCCACGAGCCTTGCTGAGTCGACTTTTTCAGCTGAAACTTCCTCTTCAATCACGGTTGTCGACCCAGGCTTAGGGGAAACTTCTTCCACAGCCGCCTTATCGGGATCAGATACTTACGATACTCTGCAAGTGCCTTACACTGGAACGGAGATATTGACTACACCTGTTGCCATCAGCACAATCAGTGCTAGTGGGAACATCCGGGGAACCATCATGTATGCCGCAAGATTTGCGACAAGGACGATTCCTTTCACCCCGACAGAAAACGGTCAGACGACACCTGTTCCTCTATCAACCATCCAGCCTTCAGGAACAGAACCTGGAATTGTCGTAGTCGGCATGCCAGCATCTTCCGAGTCTTTCGTCACAACAACTATCCCGTACAGCCCTACCGGAACCGAGATGACCGGGCTAGTCACAATCACCACCTTGGCTGCGAGTGGAACACAGCCTGCGATGGTCGTTATAGGCTCACCGTTAGGCCGAGCTCTGTACGTTACAACGACTGTGATTTCTTCGGTGCCGAGCCCTACGATAGTGACCACGATTCAGCCTACCGGCCCAGAGCCTGGGCTTATCGTGTTTGCGGTTCCCGCTTCCCTCCCCTCTTCTACTGCGTCCACAGTTTCATCCGATACAGATACAACATCTTCCAGCGAAATAATCTCGAATGGGTCTTCGACAACCTCGTTGACTTCTTCAGCTACAGTCACCAGCTCCGAGGCTGGCGATAGTACTCAATCAACTACTAGTAGTGCTGGGACCAGTAGCAGCACGGATGTAGATGGGAGCACTACCACAAGTAGTAGTACTGGCTCTGAGGCAGCCTCAATGGCTTTCGCTTCTCTCCTTGCCGCCTCGGCCTCCATATCCTCAACTGAATCCACTTCCACCACTCTTTCAGAGTCCACAAGCAGCACTGAGGACGCCGGCAGCAGCAGCAGCAGCAGCACAGCTATTAATGGCAGTTCCACGGCAAGCAGCGAGACCGGTACTACCAGTGGTAGTGAATCTGGCAGCAACACAGGCACAGGAAGTAACACTACCACTGGACCAGCAACTACTAGTTCAGTTTCTTCTCTACCCACCACTGTATCTGGCGTCTCAACTCAAGTATCAGTCACTTCAGATATCAGTAGCACTGATATTAGTAGCATCGAAACCAGTAGTATTGTGACTAGCAATACTGACAGCGAAAGTACGGAGATCAGCAGCACTGCGAGCAGCATTGTGAATAGCAGCACTGAAAGCAGCATTGAGAGCAGTAGCACCATAACTAGTAGTACTGATAGCAGCAGTACAGAGATCAGTAGTACTGCTATTGACATTTTTGCAACTAGCAGCACTGAGAGCAGCAGTACCGAGAGCAGCATTGATAGCAGCACCGTCTTACCTAGTAGCTCCGAGGCCAGTACCACGGGGACATCTAGCTCATCTGCAGGCACTACAAGTTCATCATCGTCTACAGAAACAGCCAACTCTTCATCGGAGACTATCAGCTCCACTGGAGAGACTGCAACCTCTCCAATTAGCAGAACATCCGTGGAATCCGTTTCGACGAGCTCCGACAGTTCGACAAGTACTAGCCAGACTACCTCCTCTGATCTGAGCACGACATCCGTTGAGACTTCGGGGATCACGTCAGCCCCGTACACTACATCAGAGGTTTTCGACACCTTAGTGACGGCTCCTACCACTGTCTCCACAATCTTGCCCACAGGAAGTTCGCCTGGCGTGTATGTTGTAGCAAATCCTGCTTCATATGTGACCTTGCAGATACCATACAACGGCCCCGGATCTTTAACTGGGCTTTCGACTTTGTCTACAGTTCAGCCCTCCGGAAGCATCCCGGGCACATTCATCGTGGCCAGCCCGGCACTCTTTGTCACATCACAGGTCGTATACTCTGGTCCCTCTTCCATCTCGGAGCCCATTCCTGTGAGTACCGTTCAGCCGACCGGTTCCCTGCCTGGTACTATCATCCTGGCCGTTCCTGCGTCATTCTACGCCACTTCTACGTCGATTTACACCGGATCCGACTCGTTCGATGTCCCTACGGCAATTTCTACGGTAGCCCCCGTTGGCGGAGCTCCCGGCACTGTCATCTTCGCCGCCCGCTATGCGGTTGCAAGAGTCCCTTACACAGGCAATTCAATCATCACTGCCCCAATTGTCGTGGCCACCATTCCTCCCAGCGGCACCGCTCTGGGAACAGTCGTTTACGCTGACCCCCCAACGACGACGGGATCAACCGCTTCTACGACAGACACATCCAGTGACTCGGCGTCAACAAGCAGCGAGATGAGTAGCGACGTGGATTCCACGACCGAAATCACTTCCTCGAGTTCATCGACCATAGAATCGATATCTTCTACGTCGGTTTCATCGGGTGTTGAAACGTCCTCCAGCACACCGATCATCACCGCTTCTGTATCTTCATCGGTGTCATCAGAAGCCTTCTCATCCACAACTTCCACTGCTGAGACAGACACACTTCTGCCGACATCAACGAATTCTTCAACAAGTGACACTTCCGGTACCTCCAGCGATTCGAGCATCGGGTCTACTTCTTCTTCTTCTTCTTCAAGCAGTTCCGCCATTTCTTCCGATTTATCGACCTCCTCTTTTGCATCTGATACAAGCACACCGCTCCTTACCTCTAGCAGCAGTCTGGCAACCGAAGAAATAACGACTTCGGGCACTTTAACTTCTGAAGTTTCCCTTTCAACTTCAAGTGTGTCTTCAAGTGAGGCAGAATCATCCACCTTTACGAGTTCGATCAGTTCCGACAACTATGAATCTTTCGTGACCACTACGGTACTCTACACCGGTAGTGAGACTCTTACCGGACCTACGCCCCTCTCGACAGTAGCCCCCTCTGGTACTCAACCAGGCACGGTGATCATTGGGACGCCGCTTTTCGCCTCTTTTGTTTCTACGACAATAGCATACACTGGAACCGAGACCTTGAGCAACGCCATCCCGGTGTCTACAATTCAGCCAAGCGGAACACAGCCAGGTACCGTGGTCTTTGCCGCCCAAGCTCCTCAGAGCCCCGCCTCGTTTGTGACGACCACGATCCCTTTCACGGGCAGCGGGTCTTTGACGGGCCCTTCGGCTTTGACGACCATCGCCCCTAGTGGAACACAGCCAGGTACTGTTGTTTACGTAACTGCATCCTCGGAGGTACCTTTCTCGTTTGTAACTACCACGATACCCTTCACCGGCAGCGAGTTGTTGACGGGTCCTTCGGCTTTGACGACCATTGCCCCTAGTGGAACACAGCCAGGTACCGTTGTTTACGCAACTGCATCCTCAGAGGTATCTTTCTCGTTTGTAACTACCACGATACCCTTCACCGGCAGCGAGTTGTTGACGGGTCCTTCGACTTTGACGACCGTTCTGCCAACTGGTAGAGAACCAGGCACTGTCGTCATTGCCACGCCGCTATCTTCAAGTCCCGATGCTTCCTTCATTACCACTACTATCGCCTATACTGGCAGTGATACCATCACTGAGCCAACTTTCATCACAAGTTTCCCACCCAGCGGTACAGCACCAGGAACCATTGTATTCGCAGCTCAGGCCTTGGTGGCAGCTTCTTCATTCGTCACGTCAACTGTCCTATACACGGGAAGTGATACAATCACTGGACCTATTCCAATAACCACAATTGAGCCTGTGGGGAGTGCCCCTGGCACTGTTGTGATCGCCACGCCGGCCTTGTTGGCAAGCCCAGGCTTCGTCACTTCGACCGTTTTGTACACCGGAAGCGACTCCATATCTGAGGCAACCATTGTCAGTACCATACCTCCGGTTGGCACTACGCCCGGTACGGTCTTGGTAGCCACTCCAGCATCAGTTGAAGCGGCCTCTTTCATCTCAACAACAATTCCTTACACTGGCACCGGAACGCTCACAGGTCCCACCATTCTGACAACAATTGCACCCAGCGGTTCGAATCCAGCCATTGTCGTGATTGCTACTCCGGTATCTGATGCCGCCACCTCCTATGTTACAACCACGGTACTGTACTCGGGCAGCGACTCTTTGACGGGTCCGACTGCTCTCACGACCGTGTTGGCATCTGGTTCAATTCCGGGAACAGTGGTGTTAGCGACCCCGGCTTCAGCTGTGGCCACATCCTACGTCTCAACCACCGTGCCATACTCTGGAGCTAACGCAATAACCGGCGTGATCCCCCTATCAACTATTGCCCCGGTTGGGTCGATACCTGGAACAGTCATCTTTGCGACGCCGGCTTCATCTATGGCCACATCCTACGTCTCAACCACTGTGCCGTACTCTGGAACTGACGCAATAACCGGCGTGATCCCCCTATCAACCATTGCCCCAGTTGGATCAATACCTGGAACAGTGATCTTTGCGACGCCAGCTTCAGCTATTATGGCCACATCCTACGTTTCAACCACTGTGCCGTACTCTGGAACTGACACAATAACCGGCGTGATCCCCCTATCAACCATCGCCGCAGTTGGGTCAATACCCGGAACAGTCATCTTTGCGACCCCAGCACCCATCTCAAGCTTTTCTTTCTCTTATGTTACAACGACCATCCCATACTCGGGCAGCGATCCCGTCACCGAAGCCACTACTCTGACTACGGTGGCCCCCAGCGGATCCATCCCAGGGACCGTCGTGATTGCTACACCGGTACCCGTCAGCAGTTCTAATGTGCCCACATCATATGTGACAACGACTATCTTGTACACAGGAACCGACCCTATCAGCGGCCCGACCCCAGTGTCAACGGTGCCTCCAAGCGGGGTTGTTCCTGGAACAATCGTCTTCGCCGTTCTTGCGTCTAGCTCGGATGAGCCTCTCACGTCGTATGTGACGACGACTATACCGTACACAGGAACCGACCCTATCAGCGGCCCGACCCCAGTGTCAACGGTGCCTCCAAGCGGGGTCGTTCCCGGAACAATCGTCTTCGCCGTTCTTGCGTCTAGCTCAGATGAGCCGTTTACGTCGTATGTGACGACGACTATACCGTACACCGGAAGTAACCCGATTGCTAGTCCAACTACCCTATCGACGATATTGGCAAGCGGCAGCATCCCAGGCACAGTCATAATAGCTACCCCTGTCTCAAGCACATCTAGCTCCGATGCCGAGCCCTCATTTGTCACCACGACGATCGCCTATCGAGGGACTGCGCCTATTACTGGGCCGGTTGCTATTTCAACTATTGCCCCTGCGGGCACCACTCCTGGAACTGTTGTTATTGCAACTCCTTCCTCTCAACCGTCAACTACAACACTCGAGACATCAACTTCAACTCCGGAGGCTCCTACGTCAAGCTTGGACAGTACCACATCATCGTCAGAGTCTGTTACTTCTGCCTCTGAGTCGTCTGAATCATCTACCATATCGACGAGTCTTACAACGACCACCTCCGAGTCCGTAATCTCCAGCTCGTCCGCCACTACATCAGAATCTGCAACTTTAACACCGGATTCTAGCACCCCCCTGTCAGTTACAAGTTCTTCGGACCCTGTCACATCCATTGCCTCAAGCTCTAGCACTTCAGAATCCACAACAAGTGCGTCATCATCTGTCGAAAGTTCCTCAAGCTCTACAGCATCGACAAGTGATTCGTCAGCCCTGGGATCCAGCAGTTCAACAACGGAAATCTCCACATCAAGCTCGGATTTCTCAGCTTCCTATGTTACTACAACATTTCTGTACACTCAGAGCTTCATTACAGGCCCAACTCCCCTCACGACAATTCCTCCAAGCGGCACTCTCCCTGGCACGGTCTTCATCGGAACGCCTCCGTCGGTTCTCCCGGCATATGTTACTTCGACAGTATTGTTCACGGGCAGCGAAGTGATAACAGAACCGACTATATTGACCACCATCCCGCCCAGCGGCTCGGTCTCTGGAACCATCATTATTGCTACACCCGCCTCTGTTACCACATCCTACGTCTCCACCACAATCTTGTATGATGGAAGCGTCCCAATCACAGGCCCAACACCTCTAACTACCATCCCTCCTAGCGGTACTATCGCGGGGACTGTGGTTTTCGGTACCCCTGCCCCTACCTCTTATGTTACTACAACTATCCTATACAGCGGAACAGAGCAAATCACAGAACCAACAACATTAACCACAGTTCCTGCCAGCGGTACAGTCCCAGGCACCGTGGTTGTTGCTACACCTGCTTCAGTTATTACCTCTTACGTTACTACAACTATCCTCTACAGCGGAACAGAGCAAGTAACAGAACCAACAACATTAACCACAGTTCTCGCCAGTGGTACAGTTCCAGGCACCGTGGTTGTTGCTACACCTGCTTCAGTTGTCACCTCTTACGTTACTACAACTATCCTCTACAGCGGAACCGATCAAATCACAGAACCAACAACATTAACCACAGTTCTCGCCAGTGGTACAGTCCCAGGCACCGTGGTTGTTGCTACACCTGCTTCAGTTATCACCTCTTACGTTACTACTACTGTCTTGTACAGCGGAGCCGATCAAATCACAGAACCAACAACATTAACCACAGTTCCTGCTAGCGGCACAGCTCCTGGCACCGTGGTTGTTGCTACCGCTGCTTCGATTGTCACCTCCTTTATAACTACTACTGTCTTGTATAGTGGAACGGATCAAATTACGGAACCGACTACTCTGACTACGATTCCCGCCAGTGGTTTAGTCCCAGGTACCGTGGTAGTTGCCACCCCTGCTTCGGCAGCGAGCTCCTATGTGACTTCGACAGTGCTATATACCGGAACCGAGCCTTTGTCTCAGCCAACTACGCTCTCGAGTATTCCCCCGAGTGGCACTGCACCTGGAACAATAATCATCGGGACTGCAGCACCTCGTTTCGTGACTTCAGAGGTTTTGTACAGCGGCACAGACGTCTTGACCGGCCCCAGCACCATTACTACAGTACCTCCGAGCGGTACTGCCCCTGGAACCCTGATTGTTGCCACTCCGGCCGCCGTCTATGTGACTTCGGAGGTTTTGTACAGCGGCACAAACGTCTTGACTGGCCCCAGCACCATTACTACAGTACCTCCGAGCGGTACCGCCCCTGGAACCCTCATTGTTGCCACTCCGGCCGCCGTCTATGTGACTTCGGATGTGTTCTACACTGGGGCAGACGGAGCCGTGTCAACGCCCACGGTGGTTTCTACAATCCCGCCCAGCGGAACTGCGCCCGGCACTTTTGTCGTTGTCAACCCCGCCGTGTTCGTCACTTCTAGCATATTATACGCTGGAACGAACACCGCCCTCACTGTTCCAACCGTCATTTCTACGATTCTTCCCAGCGGCACTGTTCCAGGGACGTTCATCGTAGCCAGTCCCGCTGTCTATGTCACATCTTCGGTGATTTACACTGGCACGGACCCGGATCTTACGGCGCCAACTGCAGTCTCAACCATTCCACCGAGCGGCTCAGTTCCTGGTACTGTCATCGTGGCCCTCCCTGCTTCGTATGTCACCTCGGAAGTCCTCTACAGCGGCACCGGAACACTGTTGAGTGCTTTGCCGATTTCGACAGTGCCACCGGATGGCACGATTCCAGGTACGATCATTGTAGCCACACCAGCACCCCGTTACGTCACTTCACAAGTCTTTTACAGTGGCACAGAACCGTTTAGTGAACCAACGACTATATCCACTGTTTTACCCAGTGGAAGTGCTCCTGGAACTTACATTGTCGCAACTCCGGCCTCCTATGTCACCTCTGAAGTACCTTTCAGTGGCACAGGAACACTTTTAAGTGCCTCACCAATCTCGACTGTGCCGCCAGTTGGTACAACTCCAGGAACAGTCATTATAGCAACTCCGGCCCCTCGTTATGTAACTTCAGAAGTATTGTACAGTGGTACAGAGGTTCTCACTGGACCAACAACTTTGACAACAGTTGCGCCCAGCGGAACTGCTCCGGGCACATATATCGTCGCAACTCCGGCTTCGTACGTCACCTCAGAGGTGCCTTACAGTGGCACTGGAACACTATTGAGTGCTTCGCCAATCTCAACAGTGTCGCCAGTCGGTACAACTCCAGGCACAATCATCGTGGCCACGCCAGCCCCTGTTTACGTCATTTCACGAGTTGCGTATAGTGGTACAGAGGCGCTCACCGGCGAGACAACTATCTCTACTGTTGCAGCAAGCGGAACCACACCAGGCACTTACATTGTGGCGAGCCCAGATGCCTCCTATGTAACTTCCATGGTCGTGTACACCGGCTCCGACACAATACTGCAGCCGACGGCAATCTCGACCATTCTTCCTGTGGGCACCAGTCCAGGAACTATCATCGTGGCAGCTCGTTATGTTACCTCTATGGTAGACTACCAGGGAACAGTCCCAATCACAGGGCCGACTGCGATATCGACGGTGGAGCCATCGGGCACCGCGCCAGGTACCTTCATTATTGCCACCCAGGCCGCCATTCTCGTCACTTCCTCGGCCCAGGACACCAGCACCAGCACGCTGACTGAATCCTCGGCCATCTCCACCATCCAGCCTGTCATCATAGCTGCTCCCGCCCCCGAGCCCTCTTACATCATCACAACCATTTTCCTAACAGCAACCGATGCGGCTGATAGTACCACGATCACGACAATTGCCCCTAGCGGCACGTCGCCTGGCACCATCGTCGTGGGCAGACGGGCGTCATTTGTTACTGTCGTCGGCCCTTACACAGACACTACAAGCGTCCCGACAGGATCGACGACCGTCTCTGTTGTCCAGCCAAGCGGCACCCAGCCCGGTACCGTATACATACAGACACCGGCAACAACGTTGGCGAGCACAACGGTCGACCCTACTACTTCGTTACCAGCATCAACTAGCACGTTGACTAGCCAGGAATCCAGTGCGGAAGCGTCGTCTTCTGCTTCTTCGAGAAGCTCCATCGTTCTTTCGACGCCGGCATCGTCAAGCACTTCTTCAAGTAGCTCATCATCTGCCAGCATCACAGTCAACCCTGCCGTTTTGGCCTCTTCTAGTAGTTCCATTTCATCTTCTACTTCGACCTCTTCCACCTTGTCAAGCAGCTCTTCAGTTAGCTCTTCTAGTGGCTTTTCGTCTACCAGCGTCGCGGTTAATCCCGCGATACTACTCTCGTCCAGTGGCATTATTTCACCTTCTTCAATCTCTTCGACGTCGACATCTTCTACTTCATCAAGCAGCTCTTTGAGTAGTCTGTCGACAGGCTCTTCTTCCGTCAGTATCATAGTCAACCCCGCGACGTTACTCTCAACTAGTAGCACTCTTTCGCGTTCTTCTTCAACCACATCGCCTACTTCTACCTCGACTTCTCCTACCTCGACTTCTCCTGCCTCGACGTCAACACCGTCAAGCAGTTCTTTGAACAGTTCATCGTCCGTTAACGCCGTGGCCAATGCTGCGTCTCTGCTCTCTTCCATCAGCACCGTTTCTCCATCTGCTTCTCCTACTTCAACCGCGGCCTCCATCTCGTCGACCTCTTCGACAGTGCACTCGAGCAGCAGCAGTAGTGGTGGGTCGACATCGCAAACTACCCCGAGTTCATCAACATTGTCCAGCTCCTCTACTAGCACCGCCGTCAGTATTGCAGCAAATACATTGCTGACTACATCTGGCGGTTCCACCTTCTCTACGCTCATGAGGTCTTCCTCGTCCTCTTCCAGCTCATCTTCACTGAGCCCTTCGTCTTCCACATCTCCTAGCTCCTCCAGCACCTCCTCTTCTCTAAGCTCGACAAGCACATCTTCGCATGGCTCTTCCACTAGCGTCGTAGTTAATGCCGCTTCTTTGGCCTCATCCAGTACTACTACTTCACATCCCACTTCATCAAGCAGCTCTTCAAGCAGCTCATCGTCTAGCTCATCACCTTCTTCGTCACGAACAACTATCGCCACCACCACCACTACCAGCAGCAGAAGCAGCAGCAGCAGCAGCAGTAGTAGTCGCAGCAGTAGTACCAGCAGTAGTAGCACGCGCGTCGTTGCCTCGCCCACGCGCGGACCGGCCTTCTCCTGCCCCACGACCGGCTTCCTCATCCAGGCCCGCACGCTCTACTCGCTCGACCTCGCGTCCGGCAACCGCACCCTGATCGCGGACGACGTTGGCGGTGACTCATCCCGCACCATCAACGCCATGGGCTACAACGCCAGAGAGGACTACATCTACGCCGTGAGCGAGACCTTAAACACGCCGTACAACTTCAAGATCATCCGCATCCTCAGCAACGGCACCACGCAGGACGTCGCTACCATTAACAAGTTCTCGAGCACGGCCGGCACCCTGTTCAACTCGGGCGACGTCGACGAGAACGGCCAGTACTGGATCTCGACGGGCGGTGCCGACTTTTATCAGTACAACTTCAACCCCGGCACGGCCGGCTACGGCACCCTGGTCAACAGCGCGGTACTCGCCGGCACCGGCGGCTACGTCATCGGCGACTGGACCTACGTCCCCGGCACCGGCGGCGGTGACTTGTGGTCCGTCGGCGTAAAGAACTTCTCCTCCTTCCTCCTGCGCTGGAGCCGCACCACCAACACCTTCACCGTCGTGCGCGAGCTCGGCAACCTGACAAACACTCCCACGCAGAGCGGCTCGACCCCGGCCTTCTGGGGCGCCTCCTACGCGACCAACGACGGCTTCCTCTTCGCCTTCGAGAACGGCTCCGGCCAGGTCTGGCGCATCTCCATCGACGGCTCCGTGGCCAACAAGAGGGTCGCCGACGCCCCGGTGAGCAGTCAGAACGACGGAGCACGCTGTGTGGATTCCGGCAGTGTCGTCGTCAACGGCGGTTAAACGTACAGCCCTAGATTGAACCATTTTCTTATGTCAAAACATCCCACACGAAATATCCAGAATGAATGCCCTCCTATGATTTATCCCACATTCTTTAACCGGTTTCCCAAAGGCGGGGGGAGTTCCGGTCGGAGAACAGCATCAAGAATCCCAAAAGATTGGTCAAATTGTATTTCTTTTGTCGCGAATTATGCCCGAATTTGTAATATTTAACTACTAAATATTTAATGAAGCTCATCCTAGTCGGCAACCTGTTGTTGCCGCAATGACATACCTATTCTTGTGATTTCGATCTCCGGGTGCACTCACCTTTAAAGACCGACTTTTGGTCAAGAGAGTTGGCTATGCTCAGAACACCAAAAGCACCGGCGAACCACTCCAGAACGTAAAAGTCATTTGATATCTAAGCTTTTGGCCCCAACGCAACGGGGCATCCCATGCCAGATGTACACTACAGTTACAAGCCTCCGCGGATCCCAGAGCCGATTCCAGTTCTCGTTCTTTTGCTTTCTCTCTGTCTTCCACTCTCCATCTATCCCAGTTTCATAAGTCACAGCAAACGTTTGTGGGCTTTCTTCGCTTCGGTATCTGCATTTCTCAACCCGAATCCCACTCATCCTCCCAATTTCGTCGCTTACTGTGTCTTTTTGGTCGCAGTCGCGGTGCCCGTGGGCGCACTGTACATCCACACGGCAGAGAAGAGAACAAAGCCGGTGACGGTGGCGAAGATGCCAGTCAACCAAGGCCACGCACCCGAAATGACATAGGAGCGAGGCCACTCGTCGTGGGCCATGTGGCGGACAGAGACTGTGTTCTTCTCCTCGACGTTGGTCAAGAAGGGGCGCTTGTAATTGATCTTGAAGTTGAAGATACCGTGCTGATCGGGGAGGACGAAGGAGGCGGTGTAAGTGGAGGCGTCGGCTGTGCTGGCCTTGTGCGCGAGCGGGAGGCGATGGAAGGGGGTCAGCATGCTGAACTCGAGTTGGAGAGCGTCGTCCTTGGGTACGGTGAAGGGTGTCCACTTGTCCCAAGAGTATTCGGAAAGGGAGATGGTGTAGGTCTATCAGTGGTTAGCTATCGCCGTCGCTCAGAGCAGCGTGGGCCAAACTTACCACATCGTTCTTGACGCGGTAGATCTCGAGGTTAGTCTCGTTGGCAGCCTCGTTGAGGTGGTGTTCAATGTTGTTCACCCTCAAGACACCAATCTCGTGAAAAGTCCAGCCCGCAATCCTCTTGGCGAACTCACGGTTCCACGTCACAACCTCCTTGCCCGTGGCCGCCGACTTGATCTTGGCGTCGAACCACTTGTCGCTCAACAACTCGGCGGATCCAACGATAGTGAAGCGGGCGCTGTTGCGCGCCTGGAAGGCGGACACGAGACCGAGCTGCTCGCCGGCAGCAAAGAGCTCGTTGGCATCGAGAACCACGGCCTGCTCCTTAGGGTTGTAGCTGTAGGCCGTCTTGGGGGCGCGCAGGATCGGGGTGAGGAGCGGGCCAGTGCCGAGGACGTGGCCGACGCCGCTGGGGAAGGCAATGACCTGGCCGTCCTCATAGAAGAAGTCCTTCACGCCGGCGCGCGACGACTTGGGGGCGGGGATAGCGAGGACATCGTGCTTCTCGGCGGCGCTGATTGTGTCGTAGTTGAAGTGGTCGACTACGAGACCGGTGCGGTCTGCGGGGAGGGCGATGTCGAGCTCGGCCAGGAGGCTCACGATTGAGGTGGGGACGGTCGCGTTGGAGGACAGGGCAAGCAGGATGTTGCCCTTAGCGTTGATGAACTGGACGAGGATGTTGGGAGTCAGGTTGGGTCCGAGACCTGTCGTGGCTTGTAAGTTTACGTCGATATAGCTAAGGTGGCGGCAGTAATATACCCTTGACCTTGGAGGGAAAGAGCAGAAGATGGTCATACACTCGCTCGCCGAGCGTGAACAGCTTCAGAGACTCGCTCTTGGGCGTCTCGTAGGTGATACTGAATCCCCGGCCTATTCGATCAATTGGTTAGCGAATGGTGTCCCCGCGCGCGCAATTGTTCCCACGAGAATGCTTCGATTCAAAGTTCCTAGAGCTACCACTTACTTTCTAGATCTTCCAGAAACTTGGAGTAGCCCTCCTTCTCAGAAACATCGTCCAGGATCGCCAGGAGCCGACTGCCGGTAACACTAACAGCGTGCACAGTGGCAGCCAGGAAGAGCAAGCAGAGTGAAAGGAGCGACCGCATGGTTGCTAGAATTCACAGGCTGTGAAAGGTATAAGCAGCCTGAAGAAGGATCCCAAATTTCTGTGGTGAGGGTGGTGGTGGTGGTAGTGGTGGTGAAAGTCGACCGCACAGCTCGGGTGGTGCGTTGCGTTTTGGCGTAGCTGGCTGGCGCTGCGAGCTTGGCTACGCTTTTGGGATCCGGTGCATGTGTCTTGAAGCTTGGGGATACGTAGCCGTTGCCCAGCCCAGTGTCGGAGAATCCCCGGTACGGCAGGAGCTTCCTGGTACGGCGGGGGCGCGCGGTGGGTCAAGGGGTGCAGAGACCAACAGTGGTTAATCCGATCAAGTTTATCCGATCTCGAGGTTCCCGCGACGACTCCATTCTGAGCTTCGGTATCGTGGAATCGGTCTTGCCCCCAGCTAAGCTGTCGCAACAATCACCCGACGACACCCGACACGGTCAATTGAGTACGGAACCCCCGTGCGCTCATTGTATTCCGCCCCCAGATTCGCTAATTGATTCCTCCCCTTCGCACAGCACCTCAAAATGTCCTCCGCCGCGACTCCCCGATTCTGGGCCGGGCCCCTTCGATACTGCCGCTGGGCCTCCCGCGAGAAGCCCGCCTACTTCTGGTCCGTCGTCATTGGCGCCCTTGGCCCCATTCAGCTTGTCATTGTCCCTCCCGTCAGGAACTTCCTCGGCGACTACAACGCACCGCCAATCCCCGTGACGTACCCTGGTGAGTCGTTCTACACTGCAGAGGGCGCAAGGGGAGGCTAACATCCATGTGCAGTCCCTACCGGGCCCAGGAAGCAGCTGTCAGGCTACGATGACGAATGACCACAGCCGAATCATCAAACATGGAAGTGGACAAAAATTAAAGCAACGGTGCTTTGTAAATACGATGGCGTTTGAGCTTCAGACGGCAAGCATGGGAGAACTGGGGCTCTGGGTGAGCTACCGAATCGGAACTGTAGCTCACGGGGTTGTTCCCCAGGAAGGACCGAGAACAAGGGTTACGCTGTACACTAACTCTCATGCCAAGCCCCGTCAATTCACTTAGAGTACGCGCAATGCATCTTGAACGATCGTGGTTGAGAGTTATCAAGGAGTACGCCGATTCCATGCTAGCCTGGAAGTAGATCGATCCGCTATGCTCGAGATTGACGAAGTCACCACAGACGCCTCGCTCCCTTTACATACTCGCCCGCAAGCGATTGCTATTGCTACCCCCTGCCCAACCTTTGGCACCGTGCAGACTCTATCTGTCCCGCTGGACAAGATTCCACTCGTACTAAGAAACGAAATTAGCAATTACCTTCCACGAATACCGGGCCAAGGACTACTTACCACTCGCCCATCGTCATCACCGGTGTAGACACACTGCGGCATAGGCGCGATGCAAGTCACACCGGCGTCGTAGTTGGCCCCCACTTCCGAGCGCGGATCGACGTGGTCCAACCGCCGAAGCAACTCCAACACCCACTTGCCGTTCTTGACGCACTTCTTCCATACGTTCACGCGTCCCCTCTTGTGACCAGTGAAGACAAGGTAGTTTTCGAGCCACTCGTTTCCGGCGCCTTCGTAGAAGGCACAAGAGTGCACGTAGTCATCCGGCTCGGTGCAGACATTCTGGTCCAGTATAACCGTGCCATTGATGGTGTAAAGAACGACGTTTGGACCAGACCCAAGCATGATCTCGCCAGAAACATCGTTGATGCGGGCGCATTCGACGGCTCGAGAAAGCGGCAGCTTCCGAATAAACTCGAGACGATTGAGGTCCCAAACAAAGGCTTGGCCGTCAGTCGACACTGACACGAACGTGCTGAAGGACTTGGACACTGCGATGTTCGTCACAGGTGCGCGATGGCCAAAGAGTGACGAACGGGGGAGCAGGTCCGCCACTTTGCCGGGGGCAGTCTGCACCGCGTAAACGGATATAACGCAGTCCTCTCCAGCCGTGATCAGTGTCTTGGAATCAGCAAAGGTAGCGCAAGACAACTGCCCAATATGAAGATTCTCGAAGAGTCCCGCGGGCTTCTGCTTCTTAGCCAAGGTCCCACCAAAAGCTGTGTCGGGCTTCCTTACCTTCCGGTTGTCGCTGAAGAAGAAACGGACACTGTTGTCCGCGTAGCCCCATTCGAGGAACTTGTCATAGGGGGCAACATTCAGACGGAATGGCGAGGCGCATATGAGCCTATCGATTTTGGGCGAATAGATCAGAGAAGCTACCCTCTCGTGGGATTCTGTTTCGTTGGTTAGCTTGAGCAGACACGTGGGGGCGAAAAAGACTTGCCTAGCAATGGATGCGATAGCCTGGTAAGAGCATAGACGGACGTGTCCAATCGTCGGGTCGGGCAAGACGCATGCTCACGAGCGGGGTGAGGTCGTGTAAAGACTTGGTGTGGTGTTTGACCAAAGTTATGGATGACACCCGCGGTGATGCGTCTCTCCTGCGGATCGCTGATGTTGTCCAGGTCGGTGGCGCCTCTATACGAGAGATGGTGAAAGACGTTGAGGCTGTCAACGGCGGCATCGCCTCTCTGCTTGAACCCGAATACTAGATCGATCCAGTTGTGCAGATGCTGGCTGACGTACGGACTCTCAAGTGCCTCGCGGTGCTTGGCAATGAAGATCTTGGGGTCTCCCTTGGCCCAGGGAGGCAGGACAACATTATTAACCCTCGCCCCTGTGCTCTCACGGTTGCCAAAGTTGTACTGGTTAATGTTGGTGAGAAACTCTGGAAGACAAAAGAACTCTGGTATCAACTCCCTGATGTCTGCCTTGTTGTCGCAGGAAGCAGACTGCCACGCATGAGGGATGGACTGGAAAAGACGGTCTGCGTGGTCGAACGATCCGCCCTGCAGGAGAATGTATGACTGAACGAAAGGCGGGAGGCGGATGAGGTACGAAGACACAATCATAGCCGAAGAGTAGTGAGTGCCATAGTGGAAAGGAGTCTCCCCTATCTCAGACAGAGCGTTGTAAGACTCCTTGAAGCCTGAAACACGGCTTGCTGTCTGAGCGCCCATCGGCTTCGAGAGATCGCGAAAGGAAGCGGGGTCGTTCAGATTCAACTCCTCACTTGTGTAGTCTGCGAGGACCCACGGGAAGACAGGATATTGTGTCAAATCATTAAACGTCCGGCCGGCCATCGTGTTGACGAGCATGAGATAGTGAAAATTGGACATCTCCCCCTTCTGCCACTTCTTCATGGCGGGGTTCCAAGGAGTTGAATTGAAGATGCTTCCAAACTTGGAACCAAAGCCTTGGGGCATCTCCTCAGAGACCTTGAGGGCTTCCAGACGCCAGGCATCTTCGGGGTTCGGTAGTGAGCTAGCAGCGTTGGTGTGTGGCGCCTTGTTCATCAGCTTGCCAAAGACCTCGTCTCTCAGCACCGGGTTGATGGACGTCAGTAAGTAGCTGCGTCCATCTGTGAAGAAGATTTCAATAGCAACGTCCCGGAACAAGAAACGTCTCTTAGAGATACTGATAACGTCGTGCCACCGCCAACTTCTCGACTCCTGTTCGCTGCGACTTGAGCTCTGGCGTTGCTCAGTGGTCTTGGCATCGGTAATTATCTCTGAGAAGGGATCTCTTTCCTCGGGAGGAGCTTGCCACGCGTTGACGATCTCGCCAGAAGCGCATTGGAAGACGTTGTCCATGATGTACAAGGCATCTTTTCCAATGATGAGGATACCCTCGCAGCCCTCCAAACCGACGATTCGTGAGATGTTGTACACCGCCTGGACTTGGTCACCCTGCTCAAGTCGTCGCATGACCTTGCGATTTTTATCCTCGAACCCATCGTCGCCCTCGTTGGCGTCGTTTGGATCGTCGACCAGCTCGAAATCCTCTTCGGCACCGACGCCGGACTCGTTTGCCTCTTCTTCCTGGTCCGTCTCGGCTGGTGTGTCGGAGACCTCTGCCTCGCCATCAAGGCTAGAGATGGCCTTTATACGGGACGATGCCGGTGTGGGTGCCTTGATTGGCGATGGTGCGATCTGGGCGGCTACCATGTCGGTGCTCACCTTGAGGGCAGACGGGGTCATAGACTCCCCTGCTCTCCTCTTTGGCTGGTAGTCGCTATGTTTATTGGAGTAGTCGGGTAGAAGCCTCAGGCGCATTCGGTTGCGCCCCTCCGTACGGTCGAGCTTCCACTTGAGCTGTGTCTGCTCGCTGAAGACGGCCCCCGGACGCCGCAGGTCATTGTCCATCTTGACGAACGCAGCAGCTAGGAAGGCCATGTCATCTTGCTGGTCCTGAGTCAAGCGTTGATGCTTGAAGTGCTCGCTTGTGAAGATGCTCTTCATCCAAGCACCGTTGGCCATGTCATGCCGCAGAAGAACATTATCAATACTGAGTGCTTCCATTTGCCACGCTTTTAGTCGGTCTCTGCGCTTCGCCAATCGGAACTTAGCCGAATCAACAGTTCGCTGGTTTTCGACAGCCACAAATTCTTCCCAGATCTTGGAGCTCCCGCCAAAGAAAAAGGCATCGAGCGACGCACGATGCTGATCCACCCATTCAAGGAACGCTTCATCATCAACCTCGGTGAGTTTAACAACGAATTCCTTCGTCAACTGTTGTTGGTCTGTCGCCACGTTTTGGCGGAACAAAACCTTGGACTCTTGTGGCTTTTGCACAAGCATAATGCGCATGATGGTAGCTGTGGCGGACCTTATGGCTACCCGGGAGTCCACAAGTTTCCTGTAAAGTTGGTACCAGAAAAGCTTCATGTACTCCTCCTCGTCTGAGAGAGAGTCTAATATAGGGGCCTGCCAGTATAGGATGTTGCTCATAAAAGCCTTTGCATTGATGTCTGGTGTGTCGGGATCATCCAGCTCAGAGAACCGAAGCAGAAGCAGTTTGAGGAAGCTTTGGCGTGTCGTGGCCACAGCTTGACTACAGAGACGGACGCTCTTCAAAGTAGAGACTTCGGGCCTCTGTAGGTATTCAAGTACCATACCAGCGAATTCTAGCATTGGCTCCGTACCATTGATAAACCAGCCTTCGAAGATAGCGTCCGTGACGTGTGCGGCTAATCTACCCATGTTGGTGAGAACCTTTGGCTCGCATAGAACCCCCTGGTTCGACTGAACGTGGTTCCCAAGTTGTTGGAGTGTCTTCCTGAGGACAAAGGATTCGAAGTAAGCCTGGTGCTCTTGGAACCCAGGTGGGATCTTCAAGAACAGTCCGAAGCCAGGGAACTCCTTTCGCGTGAAGACCTGGTCAATAAATACGCTGATGACCAACTCTAGTAAGCCATCAAGGGCTGCGCTGCTAGGCTGTTGCGATTCGACCTTCTTCTTTGGCGACATGGCCGGGGCAAAGCGTGCTGCACTGGGGGCTTGGGGAGATGTTTGATTAGTGAGCATCACAAAACCGGATGCCTTCCGGAGAGGAGTGCCGCGGGGGGTTCCGGCCAATGTAGCAATCGCATCCGTGCTCGTCGTGCGAATGATGGGACCAGGCTGGGAGCCGGCAAGGGGACGGATCATCACGTCTCCGCCTTCAAATGTGAGCGCCGAATCTCGTGAGTTAAGCTCGGTGTCTGGGGTGACGGCATCGGTGCTAACGATGATGGGGTAACAGGCCCATAGCAGGTACCTGACGTACTCGGACGTCAAGGCAAAGTCTCCGAAGTCGGCGGAGCGAGAGTGCAAATCTGATAGAAATCGAACGACGGTAAGGAGCATGGGCGCATGGTCTGACGTATTTTCGACCTCATGCTGAGCACCATTTGCCACTGATGCGTATGTCAGCACACTCATCCTAGTATGTGAGCAACAGGACCTACCTCTCGCATCGATGCCCCTAGTATCCATTGACTTGGCCCGGGGCCGTGTGTCTAGCCCTTCGAAGCCGCTTGCAAAGAGGTTGCGCGGCTTTTGAGGCGAGTTTGGATCCTCCTGGTTTCTCATAACGTCTTTCAACCCATGTTGTAGCATTGACGTCAATACTTGAAGACATTCTGGGTAGAGGACCCTCGTTTTGCCGAATGTTTCTAGCAAGCTTGATAATTCAAAGTTGCGATCCAGGTCGACATTGGCCACGTCAAACCCGAAAAGGATGCTGAAGCATATGGGCCACAGCGAAGGAACATACCACCAGCGTTTGAGTCGGTGTGCCATGATGGTGAAGCCGCCAGTTTTCCCCGAGAACTTGGCTGTGTAGGCTGAGCCGTGGGTGATGAGAAGTCTCGCTAGGATCTTACTGCCGTACACCACGGTTTCGGGGTCGTCATTGGCCAAAAGATACAGTAGCCACTGGTCCATACTCAATAAAAATAGTTGGTTTTCGTCAGACGGTGGTCTCACCTTGTTCGTCACTGTCCTTGCAAACTTGCGGATATTGGCCAGATTGCCCTTTTCACAGAGAAGAGTTGAATATATTCCCAGGATCCTTGCACCAAGCTGCTTCTTGGTGAGGATTCGTGAGGACGTATTCGAGGGGGTGCTGGAATCGAAGGTGGCTCGCCGCGCAAAACCAGAAGCAGGGGTTCTAGCGATCGCAGATATAGGTTTAGGGGTCCTGACCAAAGAGGCTGTCGGTGAATGGTAGGCATAAGTAATGAACAGAGCGAGAGACCTATGCACCTCGGCTGTGTAGTTGCATTTCACAAGATGTTCTAAAGCCGTCATGAAGTGCGGTAGTACTTCTTCTGAAATTGACTCTGCTTTCATCGCATCGAGTAGTCGTTTGACAATCCCTGTGACTGTCAGTAACTCCAAGGCTTTGTCTAAAAGTGCACTTACTCATGCGCATTAACCGTCTGCTGTTGAACTGGTGATACTTGCTCTTAACAGAGAAAGTTACAAACTGCTTGTAGTAGAGCCCCTGGGTGATAGGGGCAGATCGTCTCCAAGTGTCAAAGTCAATCAGCAGGATGCGATAGGCTAGAGGATTGACGATGAAGGACTCTAGAGGCTCAGCATGATTGTATCCCACAAAATCAAGGACAAGGCTGAGAAGTTGAAAGCTCAGTTTGTCCCTCTCTTCACTTGTGATCAGCAATCGTAGGTTAGCGTTATCAGCACTCAAGTTGATGGTATATCCCAGCTTTGCTCTCAGGAGCATGCCGAGGATGGCATAACCGTTGTCGCGCTCCATGGCTTCACTGTTCCTCCAGCTCTTCTTAATGCAGAGAAATGTCATCTCAACAGCACGAACAGTTTCCTCCACCGAGGTTGCTCTTTCGACAATCTTGAGAGCTAGGGGAGTGAAGCCAGCAAGGCGCCAGAAGTTATCGTCAAAGTAAGAGGGCATGACGACCACAGGATTACCGGTCAGGACAGCTACCCCTTGAGAGCGCGCCAACGCGTCCAGCAGGCATGGCAGTGCAGCATTGATGGCAATTGCCGAGCCACTTCTGTGTGTCATCTGAGTAAGACTCGTTGCAGCAGGCCGGGGCAAAGCACGGTAGAGCTGAGTGTCTTGGTAAGCACCATCCTCTCGAAAGACGCCTGATGGAAGAATGCTTAGGAGGATCTTCTGCTCAGGCAGCAGGCTGCCTGCCTTGTCCCTGATGGCTCTGATAATGTCCGAAGACTCATCTCTCCCCGGGTGGAAAACTTCGTTTCTCAAGCCCAGGCTTGCAGAAGCTTCATATGTCTGAAAGCCACCTAGGCTATCCTGAAAGTTGCCTTGATACCTCGGGGAGAGGCCATAGTGAACGGCGAGAAAATCGTCACTCAAAACATCCTCGAAAAGATGCGCAGAGGCCAGGGACCATTTGGAGAATACCAGGCCGGGTCCAAGCTGATTGGACAGGTCCCTCGGTGTTCCTAAGAATGCTTGGACGGGGTGCGGCTTGGCGTTGGTGGATGTAAAAGACGCAAAACTTTCAGTGCTGCCGTTTGCAAAGGGCGGCGACGAAGGGTAGGCGCACTTAATCTGCTCCACAAACTCTCCGTTGACGTATAGCGAGGCTTTGCTGGTAGTCATTGTCTTGGGCCGTCTGTGAACTAGGGCAATGTGGTACCACTGCTTGTCTTTGAATGATATGCCCTTGAACCTGACGCTAGGTCGGCTGGATGTGACGGAGGTCTGTAGGATGAAGTTGCGAGTATCCCGTTCAAGGTACATCAAGAGGAAGCAGGTCTGAGTTGCATCGAAAACGCCAAAGAGGGTGGTGTGAGAGTTAGGGTCAAATCGATCCACGCGGACCCACGCCGTGAAAGTGTATCCTGAAGATGAGTTGGGAGGGAACGGCCGGCCAAGCGTCGGCAGTTCGATGGAGGAATGACCGTGTAACGAAAGATCGAATTGGAAGAACGGAGGACCACTGTATGTCGAGGTCATCTCCAGGCTGAATTCGGAAGCCTCAGGTGATGTACTTGCGAGCAGGAACTGGGTGTCTGCTGGCTGGTTGAAGCCTAGGTACATAAGCTTCTTGCAGATGATGAGCAACTTGTCTTTCTCAGCCTGGTCGAGTTTTGGAGCGGGATCGAACAGAACACGGAGCAAACGCGATAGTACGCCGGTAGCATGGAGAGCGGCGAGATTGAACGTGGAGATTGAGACGACGCTCGACATGATCTCCAGAACTGCCATCGAGCAGGAGTTTGCCGGCATGTCTTGCCCTCTTGGTATAGATTCCCAGAATCCCACGACAGCCCGTAGGATCTCTGGGTTTCGGAAAACGGCCTTTTTGTGGATGAGGCTGCGCACCTCCTGGGCAATATCCCTTGTTTGTGGGGTATTCGGGGTTGCTGGCTGCTCTTCGCCGCCTTCGTGGGCTTCTTTCGGGTCCGTTGTGGCTTCCTGCACGTTTGTCTCCAGGTGTGAGGCAAGGGACCGGCAAAGGACATCCACGTTGTTGTCACCCAGCGAGAACGCCAAGAGCTTTCCAAATAATTGGCAGTTGGTCCACAAGTCGGAGTCACTTCCGCCTAGCCCGACGCTGGCGATGGTCTGTTCGAGAGCCTCCCATCCGCCGCCTTCTACTCTGTGACGGAAGTAGCGCTTGTTCCCAGGATGACCCAAGAAGGCGGCGGCGAAGACATCCAGCACGGCTTCTAGCAAACCGAACAGCCCCTCCTTTTCTTCTTTTGTCCGGCGCTGGGGGTTATAAAAGCCGGAAAAGGATCGCAGCACATCGAGGAGACGGTGGAAGCCGTGCAAGTGTCTGAAATCATCTTGGGGCGGACTCGGCGGTTCGGGGGCGGCAATATGCTGTCGGATTTGGCGCAGGCCCTTGAGGAGAACAGGAAATTCGGGGTAGCCATTGTTGGTGCGTCTGGTTGTGCCAGCAGCGAGAGTGTCGAGTAGGCCGCGCAGGATTTCGAGAGCTTTCGAGTTGGCAGCACTGTTGGATCTGGACGACGCCGAGGTGGAGGATCGATAACGCCTCGATACGTGAAGAGTTGACATGATTCTGTTTCTTGCTATTGCAGCAGCTCCTTCATTCCAAAAGCTTCAGTCCCAGAACCCACCGAGGGTCCAGGCAGCGGTCAAAGCTGGTCGGCATCGAAAGTGAGATGCGGCGCGGGGTGGGACGGCAGCTCACAGCTTGGGCAGGAATGGGGCGTAAAAAGAGGGGGTTTCCCCTCTTCGTTTTATATATACAAGGAGGGGTGATGATGTATCGTGACGATGCAAAAGAAGCAGTTTTTGAAAATGTTGGTATACTCGGAATAGCTGCGACAAAGTCCAATAGCCAACCTAATACGCGTTATCGCGGAGATTGTAGCGGGAGCTGCAAGTGTCAGCCTTGAGCAGTGAAGGTGTGGCGTGAACGGGGGGTCTCAGTGGCTGCCTCGTCTTGCAGAAAGACAGGCAAGAGCGTCAGACGCGCCAGCCGTTTTGTGAAATAGTGGGGTAGGAATGGTGGCGGTGCTGCGGCCCATACTGCGACGCTCGGCTCCTCCATAAACCTGCTCCAGCTGTCGATGTACATCCTACGGAGGTTAGCAAAGCACTTGTGTTTTCCAAATGGATCGGTACGCCCCGCGGGTACTGGCCTAATGTTCAATACGCTGGACGAGGTTTACATAAACTGCCTACTGACCGACCTGGCTAGAGGTACTAGTAGGTGTATCCTTAGGTATGTGGACAGTGCCTTGGGCGCTCAGGTCTGATGGTCCCGGTCGCATTTCACGGAGACGATGCTGATACACACTTCCCCCATTCTATTCATGGAACCTCTCATATCGCGCGGATCATACCTTGGCTTAGGGTAATAGGTAATGGCCAGCGTACACTCGCATCACATGCGAGGCAAGATACTACTTCATAGACAGATTGGCTATTAATTTATGTTTTTCTGGGTAGCAAATGCGTGCATACATCTAGCATTATCTCCAGTGACATCCCACCCTCCTTCACCAAGTCGAGGGGACTCCTGTCTTAGCTGCAGTAGACAGATAAGATACGGTATCGAGCTGCCCACTCAGACACGGCTGACAGAAAGTCAGCCGTCGAGCAGCGAGGATGGGCCGAGATACGGATAGCTTCCGTTACTCAAAGCCAGCATGGATAACCCGAGTGGAGCCCATTGAAACATGCGCGCGCGCTTCATCCCATCTGAGCTCGCATCCAGACTCTTGATACTTACATGTACCGTATTGGTAGACCATTGTCCGGCTCTCCGGTCGTTGGCTCGACCCCCGAGTGCAGAGCTGACGCGAGCGGGCTTGTCTATTTTGCGTGGGTGGCGAAACAACTGTACATATATGTACTCAGGTGAGCGTCTGTGTTGGAGGGAAACACCCTCCCCTCATTGATGCATGAAACCCACCAAACCAAAGCTAGAAACACATCTAAGAGCCAGAAACACGAATCAGTCGGTGAAGACCTATCGGTCTTTCCATTTGCGTTGAGTCAGTGACCGGCCTTGAACGCGAGCCATGACAACACCATGGCAACAAACAAAGAATTGGTCGACTGCCCATGTGTCATATCCCCATTGACCGGTGGGGGCCGTTCAAGCGACTATGGGCTCGCGCTGCTGGGTATTCTTCCGGAACGTTGCTACATCTAGGAATAAGCTTGGGCGGTAATAGGGAGGTTTCAGTCTGGGCCTTCCCAGACACCGAGACCAGGGACCCATTCTTTTCTTGGGTTAAGTACCTCAGTCTTGCGATGACGGCGGTAAATGCGTTCGTTGATCGACGAGGCTGTCGTCGGTATTGCTGCACCGTCTTCATAAGGATCCATATCGAGGTGGCGTGGAAGGCCCGATCATGGCCTTTTCGGACAGCATGGTATAGATGGCGTGCTGAGCTGCAACCTTTAGCACTGACAATCCGACTCGCAAGCTCGTAGCCTACTTTTTTTTTTGTTACAGAGAAGTCCCTGACCCGGAAAACACTTTGACAGCACTCGGACGAGTGTTTCTCCCGCTGGCATGCGGGCCTCGACGTCTGCCCCCGTAAGTCCCCATTTGAGTATTCGAGAACCTGGATGAATAGATGATGTCCACCGGCTTCAGAAACCTGGGCGGTTGGCGGCTGACTATCAGCTCCGCGTACCAAGTTCTGGCTGACAGTCTGGCTAGCTAACGGCTGGCACATCGCCTCCGGCTGGCTTGGCTTGAACACACCTGTTTCTTAGGCAGCTCCAACGCCAGACTGCCCCCGATGACGGGAAGGCAGGGAAGTGAGGCACGTGCCAGGCACCACACGGAGGCGTCCTCATCTGACCTGTGGGTCAGGCGTACTAGGTAGGCTAGCTCTGATCAGCGTAGCGTTGCTGTGGGCCTCGTCTCCCCCGCCTCCAAGGTTCCAGTTCGGACAGCTCTTGAACCCGTTCCAGTCGGAGCTTGAGCAACGGGATGACAGGGCAGAGCAGGGCGGCAGCAAAGGTACCCTGGGGGATAAGCTCCAGCATTGCACCACCTGACCGATAGCGCGTCAGCTTCACCTCGTAAGAGTGATTGGCACCGACGAAACTCCAGGCGCCCGGTGGCTCTGGGGGCCTGTCCTCCCTTTCGCCTTGGATTTCATCCTGGGTGGGTTTTTTATGTACTGTAGGAGATCCTGTGTTGTCGGACACCTTATTGCAATTGATCGCATCATCACTGAGCAAGTCGCCGCGAGGCCAAGGCAAGCCGGGGCGCCATCGTCCGTCCGAGGTTAAAGGTGCAGGCAACCGTATAGCGACGCAGAAGACAGTCGAGAAGGCGAGGCACAACTACCAGAACACGACATGTGCGGTGTCCCCCTATGAATGATCGAGAGCAGATCCCAACGAAACGGCAAAAGCTTTGAGTGTCGAGATAAGACGGGATGGCAGCACCCGCGAAGCTTCAGGGTCCTCCGGATAGATCTGCCTCGCCCTCCGCTCCAAATCGTCCATTACGCGTTATCGCATGCAGCGCTATGCGGGATATGCGGACTGTGTGGATATCAGGTGGGTTGGAGGGGAAGCTATTGCTCGGTTGAGACAATTGGGTGAAGAATGCGTAAGGAATGCTGATAGTGCGGTACATGGGATTGACTTTCCCATGTTGGAGGACCTGGCGCGGACTCGGCCACTGGATGTGTGGGTAGGCTGTCACCTGTGCCGTCCGTCGGTTACCTCAGTTGCCTCGTTGATCTAGACGGATAGATACACGAAGATAAGGCTGTCAGCGGTTGAAATCGACGAGTTCCCTGGAAACGAAGATGACCCGTTGATGTAGCTGGGTATGGTTTCTAGGAATATTGGGTGGAAAGGGAGGCAAGCGTGGCAAGGTAGGTACAGAGTACAATGCCCACTCTGCACTTTGTGACTGATTGCCTTCGTTTCGGCCTCAGTTCATGGAAGGCTTGGGGATGACGTCAACTGCTCTGCTGTGACTCTGACTCTCATGGGAGTGTTCTGTTTGCTACCTGGCCGTGTTTCTCGAAGAGTGCTGTTCGATTGGGAAATTGAACAGTTGCCAACACGGCTGAATGCCCATGATTTGCATCTCGACGAAGCTTGACGGATGGAGCTCCCATCAGAAAGGCAGCCGGATTGGTTCTGTGCCTGGGAACAGAGTTCTTGGAAAGTTCACATACCTAGGCAGGTAGGTGACAGAGGTACTGCACTACTACGTGTACCTACCTAGACAGCATAAAGCTCCAGCAAGCAGCTGCCTGTATCGAATATGGTGCCTGGCACAGCTCGGCGGGGAGGGTTACCAGGTAAGGTAAACACACGGTGACACACACACCTCTACGGTACGTACCTAGGAGCCCAGGGAATCCCCAAACGTGACCCCCTCTTATCGCATTGCCGAGGAAACCCTATCGAGTCATTCGATTGGCTCCTTTGCCCATCCATGGTCGGAGCTAGGCCGGTTTCGGCGACGTCAGCCACCCGCCGGCTCTTATCTTGTTGGCTGCGTCACACTGGGGCGGCGCAACCATCCTAAGGCCGATACGGGTACGCTACGGATACCTCCCTCACCCAGAGCTGTGCGCACGCAACCGCCGTTGCCTTCCTTCCCTTTATATATGCTCCCTCCCGCCCTCCGAAACCCCATTCACTTGTCCTCCTGCTCCATCTCTCCCCCATCCCACCCCTCCTTCATCAGCATCATCCACCCTACCACTCCATTGAGTATTCGTCCTTCTCTGGCGACTTCGGCAGCTTCAATTTCCTTCTTGTTATCGTAACGAGCGTCTCCGGTAGACCCTTCACACAACCATATCACCGCCCATCATGAGAGGCTTCATCGGTGCCGTGGCCGGCCTTGCCGCTGTCGCCAGCGCCACTCCTTCTCTCTCCATTGAGACCATCCACGACGGCGCCGCTCCCATCATTTCTTCCGTCAATGCCGAGGCTGTGCCGAACTCGTACATTGTCAAGTTCAAGAAGCACGTCTCGGGCACTGGTGCTGAGGACCATCACAGCTGGGTCCAGCAGATTCACTCTTCATCCCAGGATGAGCGTCTTGAGCTGCGCAAGCGTGGCCAGGAGCCCCTGGTTGACAATGTCTTCCACGGCCTGAAGCACACCTACAAGATTGGCAAGGACTTCTTGGGTTACGCCGGTCACTTCGACGAGACCACCATCGAGAAGATCCGGAGACACCCTGACGTAAGTTCGACCCTCAAATATCCCGCTTGATGATGTCCCCAACATCAAGTCCCCCTATTCAAGCTCGGTGCGCGGCGCAGCTGGTCTTGGCCTTTTTGGCCCCATCGGACTCGGGAGCGATTCGCCCCCCTAGCTTCAGTCATCGTATCTTAGCGAAACTGTTTGCTGACACATCATTCTGCAGGTTGAGTTCATCGAAGTCGACACCATTGTCCACACGCAGGTTCCTGTCAAGTCCCAGGATGCCCAGATTGAGGACACGTGCGAAGGCGAGCTCGAGAAGCTGGCCCCCTGGGGTCTAGCTCGTGTCTCCCACCGGAAGTCCCTGGGCTTCGGTACCTACGACAAGTACCTCTACGCCGAAGATGCTGGTGAAGGTGTCGACGCCTACGTGATCGACACTGGCACCAACGTTGACCACGTTGATTTCGAGGGTCGCGCCAAGTGGGGCAAGACTATCCCCACTGGTGACCAGGACGCCGATGGCAACGGTCACGGCACTCACTGCTCCGGTACCATCGCCGGTAAGAAGTACGGTGTCGCCAAGAAGGCCAACGTCTACGCTGTCAAGGTTCTCCGCTCTAACGGTTCCGGCACCATGTCCGACGTTGTCAAGGGCGTTGAGTGGGCTGCTACTTCTCACTCCGAGCAGGTTCAGGCTGCCAAGGATGGCAAGCGCAAGGGCTTCAAGGGCTCCGTCGCCAACATGTCACTTGGTGGTGGCAAGACCCAGGCTCTTGATGCCGTTGTGAACGCTGCTGTCGACGCCGGTATCCACTTTGCCGTCGCTGCCGGCAACGACAATGCCGACGCCTGCAACTACTCCCCCGCTGCCGCTGAGAAGGCCGTCACTGTCGGTGCCACTGAGCTCGGCGACCGCCGCTCTTACTTCTCCAACTACGGAAAGTGCACTGACATCTTCGCGCCCGGCACCAACATCAAGTCCACCTGGATCGGCAGCAAGTACGCCGTCAACACCATCTCCGGCACTTCCATGGCCTCCCCCCACATCTGCGGTCTCTTGGCCTACTACCTTTCTCTCCAGCCCGCCACTGACTCCGAGTACTCGGTTGCCCCCATCACCCCCGAGAAGCTCAAGAAGGCTCTTATCTCGGTCGGTACTGTCGGCGCTCTCTCCGACATCCCCAGAGACACTCCCAACGTCCTCGCTTGGAACGGCGGTGGCTGCAGCAACTACTCTGCCATCATTGAGGCTGGCAGCTACACTGTCAAGCAGGAGACCAAGGAGGCCACCATTGATGACCTCGAGAAGGCCATTCAGGAGGACTTTGAGGTTCTTTCCGGCAAGGTTGTCAATGGCGCTAAGAACGTTGGCACCAAGGCTGAGAAGCTTGCCAAGAAGATCCACAACCTCGTCGATGAGGAGCTGAAGGAATTCCTCAGGGAGACTTCCTTGTAAGCGTCGCTGTCAAAGCGCCAAAGGGTCCTTGTTTTTCCTTTTTCTCTTGATTCAACGACACTGTACGCATAGGGTTACCGCTGGATGGACGGGCTGGGATGGACGCATCGCTTTTACAGCTACATACAGATCTCATAGCACAACAAATTAAGTTTCCTTACCTTATCATTACTTGGAAGCCTTGTACGCACCCGTTTTAAACGAAGCTGGATGTGACGACTGGGAATGTGTTTTTCGTATGGCTTAGCAACTACTTACGTGAACCCTATCTAAGCGCCCTAAAGGGCTGCGATGCCGGTCAGCCAACCTCTGCCGCCTGTCATGAGTAAGCCCGTCATGCATCCCACTATCCGATGGGTGACACTGATCGGATTGTCTGGGAGGAGCTGTTACCAAAACTTAGCGAGAATTCCACTATGTAGCACCTCCGTTACGTCAGTTGAATCTATCTTTGGTCAAGGCATTGTGTTTCAAATACGCGGGCGGTCCTCAATCTCGAAGTTGATTTACACTTTGCAGCTGGAATGCGTTTCCCTCCCATCAAGGAATAACAACAGCTGGATCCTGCCGACGCCACCTCATGCCTGCCCAAACCAGGTATTGATCATGGATCCTTCTGCTTACTGCCTCCCCTAGATCCAGACGTGCCTTCCGTTCCCCATCTTACAGAGTTCACACAGCCCCCGAGAAGGAGCGATCATGGACCTCAACGGCGGCTGCTCGTTTCCTCGCGGCTCTGCTAAAGCGCGGTCGCCTTCCTCGTCCTCCTCCATGTAATCCATCTCGTCCTTCACAGCTCATCATTTCTCAATTTGCGCGGCACTTCTTCGAGCTCCCACAGCTTGCTTTTGGTTAGCACTAGCCCGGATCTCGGAAGTAGACTACCACCAGCTTCAGTTAAATCTCTCTAGCCCCCTACTTTATACCTAGGTCGCCGCAAAGTCGGTCTTGTTCCGGTTGCCTAAAGCCCCTCTACCATCCCTTGCACCTCTATGCGGCGACGCAACAGTACTAAGTCGGGGTCGACGCTGACCCGAAGCAAGTCCACAGCCTCCTTTCGCTCTGCTGTCCAAAGGTTGGAGCATATTGATCCAGTCATTGCCGAAAGAGACGCTCACATTGCTGCTACCTTATCCTTCTGCCGCGTAGGCCTTGCTTCCGACCCAGAAATAAGACCTTGGCTTTCTCGCAACCACAGCCGCTCTAGCCGTATGGAATCCTGGCCAGAGGACCCCACGGGTGACGACCGTTTCCAGCATGACTTCGAAGAGAATGGTATACGTCGCCAGCAAAGCGTCCGCTTCGTCGGGCAAGGCTCTCGTTCAAAGAGGCCTCAAAGTCAGGAGAACGACGCCTCCTCGGATGCAGACACCATTCGACGTCGAAACATACTCAAGGATGTCGGAAATCGACCTCAGACCCAGTCGTCTGGCAAGGTCGGACGCTCTTCCGTGAGCACTTATACCACCAACTACGTTAACTCATTGCCACCAGTCGACTCATTTGGACCAGCGGACGAGTGCGCGCCTCCTCCAGCATCGTATCGACACCTACGCAAGTCGCGATCGATGTTTGCCCCGTTGAACCACACTCCAGCAACTACATACTCCTTCAACGATTCTCCGAAGCAAGTGAACAGAGATCCCTCGTTACAGCAACTGTTCGTGAAAGATACGAAGGTAAACAAATCTCCAACCGAGTCGGTGGGACTACGCGCTCCGAAATCAGCCAGCTTCCTCAAGCTGCGAGCCACCGCGAGTGATGCTCGAACCAGCAGTCGAAAACTGAACGATTTGGCGGTCCATGATGCCGAAGAGACTTTCCGCAGAAACATTGAAGACCAGCAAAAGCTGAAGCCACGGTCCTCTATATTCTTCCCACGAACAAAGAAGAGCCAGAGTTCCCTAGGTCTGCGCAAATCCATGAGAGAGTCCGGTCCCGATGCCCATCTCGCGGATACCGCAAACCCCCTAACCATCAGCAAGGACGCCTCTCTGCGGAAGAGGGCACGGAAGGTCTCCAATAGCCTAAAAGCGAAGCTGAAGGAGATATTCGGGCGCCGCAAGAAAGATAAATCGACTACTGTGGCAAACGAAAACGAGGCGGCAAATGTTGTTGGAAACGAAGACGGCATGGAGTCAGAGCAAGATGATCCATATATGGATATCATCGATCCAGTTCTAACGGATGAGTGCTCCATCTCACAGGTCCCCTCCCGTGTACCTTCATTGCACAACGCATGCTCATCCCGCAGGCTTCGTTCCCGCCAAGGAAGCATAGAGAGCATCAGAAGCGAGAGAAAGGTGTCAAACGAAAAGTCGCGTGTGACCAGTTGGACAAGCTCAGGAACGTGTACCCTCGACAGTCAAAGTACATGGGGTGGCGAGCGTGATAAACAACGGCTGTCCATCATCAAAGAGAATGGTCCCCACTATTCGTCCTCTTCTTTTAGGCGACCAGGCATAGGTGACCGCAATCCTTACGAGTTGTCACCACCATCACTCTCTCCCTCGGGAGACCCAGCCCGTTCTGAGACATCAACGGACAAATCCAGAGCCTATCCGGCACTCATCGACCGCTTCCACGATATCAAACAGGACCACCATAAGAAGAAAGGACTGCAACAAAGTAGTGGCTGGGACTGGGACTTGGAAAGGCATAGGTCAAACCAACTACCAAAACTCTACAACGAACAAAGCATCATAGAAGTTGGGGAACAGAAACCGCCGACTATCAGATGCATCTTACAAGATGACGACGTATTTCAAGACAGTTCATTGGAGGCGTCACAAATAGGTTTTGGTATCGAAATCACCAACTCTCTTCCGAATGAAGCAAAATCATTGTCGGGAACAGCGGCTCACCATCGCCAGCGATCTGAGTCGGAGGCGACCCTTGCTTCTCAGAAAGCCCATCCAAGACCTGTTGCTGGTGATGGACATGGATCCCCACCCTCAAGGACATCCACAAGGCACAGCGAGGACATCGCGTTGGCCCCGAGGACCTTGTCAACTCGCAGTTCTGCCTTCTTTGGCAGTCCAACGTGTCAGCTATTTCGGACAAAAAGTCCTTACCGTAAGGCATTACAAGCATCAATCAAGGAAAGCAACCAAGCTTCGACCGGGCTACGTTCACCAACAATTTCGAGCCTCAATCTTGAGCTGATTCCTACTAGACGTCGCCCAAGTCTATCTGAAGAGGATCCACGTCTTGCCTACTCTGAGAGTATATACTCCGACGAGCTCCGCTCGTCACGAACCACACCACAGCTCAACAATAAACCAGCAGGGCCGGTTATTTTCCCCCGACACCCCAGTCATCGAGCGGCTCCTGTGCTTCTCGAAGAAGCCTCTTTTAATGGCGTATACTCGGAAGCTGCCATCGAACACAGTTCCGATAGAAGAGCCCTTACGACTTCCCAACGCAACACCCCCAGTGCCCGAGACACACAACTTGAGCCTCTAACATACACGCCCACAACACCAATTGATCGAGCAGTATCAAATGCAAGCTCAGTGGAGTGGAAGACGTGGCTCTCCGCCAACGCATCAAAGACTGATGCCAATCTGGTCAACGCCAGGGCCCAGGCTTTAACTGAAGTTCGATACTCGAAACCAAGCATGCCTAGAAACTACGGTCATGTGCGCGAGAACGCAGAAATTGAGGGCTCACAGTCTCCAACGTCGTATAAGCCGACATGTCCTACAACAGCCAGAGTACAGACGCCGCTCAGAACGATGAGCCACAACCCTCGTCAAGCATCGTCTGCCAGTAGAGTTGAGATTGGCACCAAGACACCAGTCTTTATAACTCCCAGAAGAGATGAGAACGCAGCTCCCAGGTCAGATGGGCGCGTTACCAAGCACCTTCGTGGTGTATACGGTCCTCCAACAATTCCGCCACGGAGCTCGTTACGCACAACTCCTTCAATGCCCCTAATACGACCTCGGTCTTCTCGGAACAATATTCCCATAAAGTTGGGGAACAGCGAGGCTTCAAAAATGCGTAGCTTCGACACAATGTCGAAACTCCAGACAGTTGAGGTTTCTCCAAGACCAAAAAGCCGATCTCCTATCACAAGGTTTGGGCGCAATGGAGGAGACAGTGAAATCCAGTCGTCGGCATCTAGCCCTAGACTTACAAGGGCGTTTAAGAAACAATTCGGTCCCTTACAGACCAAAGAAAATTCAAATGGTTCAAAGGGAAGGTCTCCTAGGAGGAAGGACGGTTCCATGCGCCACCACTTATGGAACTCCAGTGATCATGACATTGCCGACAGATCAGATGCAACAAACCACCAAGACAGGAAGCCTCAGACGGGAGAAGGCACGCAGATGCTCGAAAGCTTTTTGAGCAGCAGACGCCAGGTCTCTATCATGGGTAATGAATCAACAGTGTTTCTTTGAGACTAATGATCAACTCCTGTGCCGGAAAACGGTTGTTTCTGCTTGCAGAGTGCTTTTCACGCAGTAACGCCGACGAGTTTGACTTATGAGTTATGTCGAAAAGGCGGAGAATACCATAGAGAAGCATGGAGTTAATGGAACAGACGTGGTCGGGCCCCTAATAATACATGACGCACGTATACTTATCGCCTCAGACATGGATCATGCGGACATGGCTGTCGTACGGAGGAAGTGTAGTGAGCTGTACGGTTTTGATGTTGTGTATGTGTCGCACAAAGTTCATTATTAATTCACGCTGTTCTTAGAATGATGGCGTGGTTTTTTTTTAGCTTTTTTTTTAATCGGTATATGTCAAGTTTTGGGAACGGACCCGAATCTGTACTGAGCCCAGGCGAAGCTGCCCTCCTTCATAGTCCACAGCTGCCTGCCGAGGTCGTCCCCTGCGGCGCCGGCGGCGACATGAACGGGTATGAGATGGTCCATCCATGGATGGGCCTGTCTGGCGTCGGGTCGCCCGCACAGTTGAGACATCTTTCGCTGCCTTTCGTGGGCGCCGGCCTCGGCCGCCTCTTTGAGGGCATCGTCGAAGCTGACAGCGTAGGGCAACGGCTCGGGCCCGCTGCCCATGTGATGGAGATTGTGCACGGACATGCCGGCGCCGATGACGACGACGCCCTCGTCGCGGAGGGCGGAGACGGCGCGGCCGAGGCGGTAATGGGCGTCTGGATCCTCGCCGCGAAGGAGGGAGACCTGGACGAGAGGGACGCGGAGGGGGTTCTCGTCGGGGTGGAAGGCGACGTGGAAGCCGGCCCAGACGCCGTGGTCGAGGCCGCGGTGCGTGGGGGAGCAGGCGATTTCGCCGTCGGCGACGAGGAGGGCACAGACGCGGGCGGCGAGGGACGGGGAGCCGACATTGGGGTAGGTGGCGGCGTAGTAGTGCGGGGGGAACCCGGAGAAGTCGTAGATGAGGGGGGCGGAGGGGGCGGCATTGACGAGGACGGAAGTCGGGACGGGGGACTGCCAGTGGGCGGAGAAGACGACGACAGCGGCGGGTCGAAGGGAGGTGATTTCGGCGCCGATGCGTTGGAGGACCGGGTAGACCGGGTGGGACGTGTTGTACATGACGTCGGGCTGGAGAGCACAGTTTTGGTGTCTGATACATTGCGGTGGAGATGGCTCGAGGGGGGAAGGGGAGACGAGATATACTTACGCCGCCGTGGGAGAAGAAGTAGACGGGCATCCTGGGTCTCTTCATTGCGGCCGACTCTGGGTTATGAGATGTGTGGTTCTCAATGGCGGCGCTGGCCGTCGCGAGGAACGATCGGAGGACGGACGAGACAAGGTACGCCGTGAGGGCCACCAAGAGGGAGAGGAGGAACAGAGGGGTGAGGCGCGGCATAGTGGGAAAAGCTGGATGTGCTGACGCTCGAAACTTCAGATGATAGGGCTCGATGCCCGGCGATCTGGTTTGTTTTATGAGGGCGAGGACGAGGGCGGATGCGAGGATTCGAGGATTGCCTAGAGCCGATGGCCGGGGTTCGGGGTATCGGCGCGGAGCGGGCGGGATGGCGGCGGGCGATGGCACGGTAGGTGGTTGTTTTCGTTGCGCGCGGCCGGGTCCGCCGCGTCCCATATAACGTAAGGTACCAACCACCTTAGCGAACATTAGGCTATGTACAGGAGCTAAGTGCCTGGCTCGCCGCCGTGGTTCCGAATCTGATAGATGACCAGGAGTTCTTGCTCCGTGTGGAGGGGAGGCCTCCTTGGGACAGAATCCGCATGGGAAATTGCTACTGCTAAGGGAATCATGAAAGGCTGTTTGCTAGGTCGGGTACCAAGTGTCTGTGAGCCTCACTGTTGCCGTGTTTCTCCCACCAGCGGTGAAGGCATTTTGGGTAGATTGCTCTGCTGTTCATGGTGCAACATCCATTTCATGGTCGCGATCTGCAGTTATCTATAGAAGGTAGTGGTGAAATGGAAATCGAACTCGAGTCGTTTGACTCCGGTTGGTCCTTACGGTCCAGAAGCTGATTCTGTAGACAGAGAGTACGTTTTTGCGCGCCTGTAGGCAGTGCGGATCTGGTCCTGGTGTAGTGCATTGCTCGTGCAGGTCAGCTGTGAGCTTAGTGTCCGTAGTGGATTCCATTACATGAGGCAGCGGAGAGGTCGTTCTCCTCTTCAACCTAGGGTCTTGACGCGTGGTACTAGGTACTTATAAGGTAGATAGGCATCTTGGGTGACGAGAGGATGGGAGGTCGGGAGAGAAGGATGGGACCCTCACTGGTGCATTTTAGCCTTGAAGGCAGACGATGCGGCGTGTTTCCGCCCCCATACGGTTGGATGCATGCAAAGACCCAGATCCGGCGAGGCCGATGCCGTGTGCCATAAACAAAGAGACGCCAATTTTAGATGCTTGGTGGGAGCTGAGATGCAATCATGGACGAGTGACACATATGGAGCTGACGGAACAGTACTTTGCATAATAGCTGCCTATTCCCTTCTGAGTCCCAAACATATCTACCTGGGTAGGTATCGCCATATCCACTGTCTTACAGTGCAACTCGACAAAGATCGCTGAGGCCTGCTCCTTAGTTGCCATTCTACATCCAAGGACATCGTCCTCTCTCCGCCTCAACCCTGATCGATAATATTCCTCTTCTATTAACTCTTTTCGTCTGAAAAGGGAGGACGATTTTGATCAGACGAGAAGCCAGGCTGAATAACGGCACGGTACCGAGCCCGGTCCAGATATTCAGGGCCCCCAATCGGCAGGGGTGACAGAGAGAAAAGGAAAAAGAAAAACCCCAAAAACGCACCTAACAAAAGCCCTCAACTCGGCTCCCGGCTCCCGGCGCCCCGCCGTCCGAGCTTTCGCTACGCTTCCCCTGGCATCCATCTCACCCCATCCATTCATCTAATTCGCATCCAATTCCAATGCTCATCCCGCGGAGCTATCTCGCAACCCTCTTTTTCGTCCTCGCAAACCTCGAATCGCTCACCGCCGCCGACGGCCAGCACCAAGATCCGCTGCTGCACTCGGACAACCCTGTCCCCCATCCGCCCCCCGTCGCCGCCGTCGCGGACGCCGCACTCCTCCCCGCCGCCGGATCTCTCCCTCTCTCCACAGCCATGTCGTCGTCTCTCGCCCGATCGGCCCCGCTTGTGTTCCCGGCCGCCGGCAAGCACACGGCCACCGTCATCTTCGCCCACGGCCTCGGCGACACCGGCAACGGCTGGGCGAGCGCCGTCGAGAACTGGAGGCGGAGGCAGAGGCTCGACGAGGTCAAGTTCGTCCTGCCTCACGCGCCCCAGATCCCCATCACCTGCGTGAGTCTTACCTCACTCCAACCCCCCCTTCGCCCCGTTCTGTCTCACCTCGTCCCCCCCCTCTCTCTCTCCAAGGCATACGTACGAATAACGAGAGCACCGACCGAATTCTTATCACGCGGACGCTGACAACTTTCAATAGAACTGGGGCATGCGCATGCCGGGCTGGTTCGACATTGTAAGTCGCAACACGATCTTTGACCGTCACCGCCGCCAGCAAGAGTTATCGGCGGCGCCGTCGTCGTCCCCGCTGACTCTGCTCCAGAAAAAGCTCGATGGCACCGTCGAGGGCCTCCGCGAGTCCGAGGACGAGCCCGGCATCCTCGCCTCGGCCCAGTACTTCCGGTCCCTCATCCAAGCCGAGGTCGACGCGGGCATCCCCGCCGACCGCATCGTTCTCGGCGGCTTCAGCCAGGGCGGCGCCCTGTCTATCTTCGCCGGCCTGACGTGCTCGCATCGCATCGCCGGCATCGTCGGCCTGTCGTGCTGGCTGCCCTTGAGCAACAAGTTCGCCGGCCTCGTGCCCGCCGACAAGCCGAACCAGGACACGCCCCTCTTCCTGGGCCACGGCGACGCCGACCCCCTCGTCCGCCCTGAGCTCGGCGCGCTGAGCGCCGAGGCGCTGACCAAGCTGGGCTACAAGATTACGAGGAAAATTTACCCGTGAGTTCAGATCCGTCTCCCCTCCACCCTCCTTCTCTTCTTTGTATCCAATCCCCTTATGGTCGGGCTTCGATGGCAACGCGTGCTGATTCTTGGATCCCAGCGGCATGCCTCACGGCGCATGCCCCGAGGAGCTGGACGACGTCGAGGCGTTTCTGCGCGAGAGACTGCCGCCAACTCAGAAGTGAGATCGGGCTGGCGCGGTCAATGTTCCAACGTCACGCAGGAACAGATGGTCTGATATTGATAGTCCTGGACAGACGAGAATGGGGGGGGTATTTCTCGAATATAAGCTTTGCATGACGAGCAGGCGGCAAGGCATCCATAAAGAACATGCGTAAGCCAGCATCCGTTGCAAGCAATCAGCATGAAGCCACGTCGCTTTCCATGCCATGTAGTCGGTAGAGGATTACTGTGCGCCCCAAAGAGAAATATCAATCGTAGTTTTACGCAACATTAGCAGTGTTTCATTGGAAAGCATCATCCGTCGTGAGAGCCTCCAAAGATGGCTGGCAAGTCTAATCCAATTAAGAAATATATAAGCGGCAGTCCTGGTATCAGGCATTGTCTGTCATCTCTGAATAGGTATGGAAGCATCGAGCAACATCTCAATCGGTGGGATGTCCTTGCGTGCTTCTCCCACACTGCTTACCTAATGCTACTGTTGTTCAGCGCCGCTAGCGATGTGGGTGGCTGCCTCGCCCAGGGTCTTATCTTGCTGAAGTGCTGTAGCTCCCACTTAGGGGGTCCATCTGGATGCAGCTGGGAGGGTCATCTGTAGTCGCCTCCCCGAATCACAGGGCCTTCCAGTGCCATGGGCCCCTTGATGACCCCCCTCCCCCCGGCCCATGACAAGGTCCAAGCTAGCCCGAAGCCCAGTCTTTCCGCCCGTGGCCATCCGGAACCTTCCCAAGCTGCAGCTCGCATCTGCAGCAAAGCCGCAACTCTGCGCCAAAGCATCGCCGACCACCGTTTTCCCTTTTTTTTTTCTTCTCTTCTCTCCATCTCACTTTCCATCCCCCTCTCAGGCTCGGTACGCAGGTTACGCATTTCTTATTCCCTCTTTTTCTTCTTTTTGTCACTCTCCTGGGCTGAGATGATACCGATCGGTCTGGCGCACATATCACGGTAAACAAAACAAACGCTCCGCCCGGCGTAGCAACACATCGAGCAGAGCCAACAACCACACCCCCCTCCTCGCAGCGTGTTACCCCCCTCCCCATAAACAAGCTTTTGAAGGCACGTCACGAACACTGCGACACCTTTTTTCTTTTCTTTTTTCTTTTCAGCTTGCTTCAAAAGGACGAAAACGAAATATAACGCCGGCACCCGAAGCGATGGAGACCGTAACCACTCCCGGCGGCGACCGGCCCTCCACCCCGACGCCCTCCCAGCTGCCCCCCGTCCCCTCGTCGCCAGTCTACTCTCTCGCCTCGACCGCGAACCCGCTCTCCTCCTATCACCTCCCGCTCCCGCCGCCCCCGCGGCCCCTCCATGCCGTCCTCACCAAGTCCGACCTCGAGCTCTCCCAGGCCGCCTACTCCGACCTCATCCAGACCGCAAAGTCCTACCGCCTCGCTCTCGCCTCGCTGTCCAACGCCGCCTCCGCCTTCGGCTCCGCCCTCGAGTCCTGCGCCCGCCTCAAGGAGGCCCGCGCCGAGTCCCTCTCGTCCGCCTCCCAGACCGGCGCCGCCCTCTCCGCCAGCTTCACCGCCGGCGCCAAAGGCGCCTGCACCGCCGACCTGCTCCTATCCGCTTCAGGCGTCCACCACCTCATCGCGAACCACCAGCAGATCCTCTCCGAGACCGTCTACCGCGACTTCGAGGTGCCCCTGCTGCATGAGATCGACAAGTGGCGCCAGCGCGTCGAGGACGAGGAGGAGGCCTACCTGCGCGAGGTCAAGGCCCGGAACCTCGAGATCAGGCGGCTCGAGAAGGAGGGTCTGAAGCTCCACAAGCAGCGCAGGCGCGATGTCGGCAGCTTCAGGGCCCACCTCGTCGACCTGACGACCAAGCTCGACGGCCTGACGTCGCTACACGGGGACCACGCCAGGACATTGCTGCGCGAGAGTCAGGACACGAGCGGGCGCATCCTCGAGGCCTCGTGCAGCCTTGTCCGCGCCGAGGTCGACATTTTCGAGTCGCTGGCGAGGAAGGGCTGGTCTGGCGGAGGGCTGGACGAGCTGCTGGAGAAGGGCGCCGACTTGTTCGCCAGCGACGAGGTCGGCGAGTACCCCGGGCTCGGCGCCAGCGCCGGCGGGTCCGCCGAGTCCGCGAAGCTGTTCAGCATTCTGCCGCCCAAGAGCATCCTCGCGGATGCGGCGTCGGATGTCACACGCCACGGGGGCCACCATCGGGGCGACAGCCTCCTGAGCGACCCGGACCGATACCAGAGCCTCACCGCCGCCGCCGCCGCCAACGCCACCGCATCGTCGGGGCTGGGGGACGACAATGACGCGGACAGCATCTTCTCCGAAACCAATTTCAACAGGTCCAGGGGCGTGCGGCCCTTCTCGCCCCAGCCTATCAGGCGGCATGCTACCGACGTCACGTTCGATAGCCTGGGCGTCGGGCTGGGCGAGGACGCGCGGGGGGGCGACAGGGCGGCCGAGGAGACGCGGCACGACGTGCTTCGCGAGGAAGAGGAGGCCGAGACGCACGATCAGACCGACTTCAAGAGCCCCTGGGAGGAAGAAGCGCAGCGCGGACAAGGGGGAGTACACGGAGGCGAGCCCGGCGACGCCGAGGTCGTGGAGGACGCGGACGCCGCGAACGGGGCGGCGGAGAGGGGAAGGCCGGGGAGGCGGTGGAGCGTGAATGAAGAAGCGGACGGCGCATAGTTTTGTGTTTTTTTCTTCTCTTCCTTTCCTTCTTTCTCTTTTCTTGGGGGTTTTTTTTCCCTCCGTCTTTCTTGATGTCTCTTTTTGGTTTCAGCAACGGCGGCGGCGGCGAAAATTCATGATTAGTCTTTGTTATACCCACCCCAATTTAGAGGCGTTTCTATGGACGAGGGGACGCAACAAATCTCCCTCCCTTTCCTCTCTCGGCGCTCACGCGCGCTCGAGCTGCATAGTCTTACAATTCGTTCATGAAAGGAACCCCCCCCCTCCCCCCCCCTTTTTTTTTCTTTCTCTCTCCTTTGCTCTCTTCTGCGTCCCCGACACTTCTGCGTCTGATGTTAAACAACCGCCGCCGGCCCCCCACTCGGCGTCTATGAAAAATGAAGTAGTATGCGTGTGGTATTCGTACGGACATAATAAAATAAAGCGCTTTTCCCCTCCAAACGCCTATTCCGATCGATCCCCAGAAAAAAAAACCCCCTTGACTACAAAACGAAACAAAAGGCCTGGGTTACAAGCTCTTTTTGTCCTAGTCGTCCTTGTCGGCGCTCAGGATCTCGCCCCCAAACAGCCCAAAGGTCGCGTCCAGCCACCAGATGATCTTCCAGTACAGGCTGGCGCGGTTCCAGTCAAAGTCGCCGTTGTCGGTGCGCGGGACCTCGTTGCCGATCATGGAGCCGCTGAACCACTTGAGAAAGGGCACCATGTTGACGAGCCGTTGGGTGTAGCTCTGCTGCGGCAGCAGCGCCTGCTCGGCGGGGAGGAGCTTGGCCCTGCGCGCCGTGGGGATGCGCCGGCAGAACAGGCTGTCTTCGACCTGCATCAGGGCCGGCTGCGACTCGGTGACAGTCGCCGACGAGCTGGTCATGTTCGAGATGGTGGCCGTATCGATCGTGTTGGAGGAAGTGAGGGACGTCGGCGGCGAGAGGTCGCTCATGGAGCGCTGATTGGGGAGGGAGAAGGGGTTGCCCCCGCCGCTCTTGCTGGCCGTGCGGTGGTGCTTGCCGCGCGGCGTTCTGTGGTTGCCAAAGCTGCCTGCCGGGACGGACTGCGAGCGGCCGTAGTCCTCATTGGCGGCGACGAGGGAGTCGACGTCTGGGATGGGCTCGTCGCGAGCGGGAGGGTGGCCGTGGTACGGCTCGGCGTAGACAAGGTAGCCCAACACACGCTGGGGACTGGCGTAGACCGCGGCGTCGGCAGCATCCGCCGACTCGAACGTGACCTTGACCCAGTGGTCGCCTCCATCGGCGCGGTTGACCTTTGCACGCTCCTCACCCGTAAGGCCTCTGCGGCGGGTGAAGGCAGGGTCGCGCAGCTCTGACTTGTAGCGGCGCTGCTCGAGGGGCGGCTCGCGAGGGTAGTCCTCGCAGATGAGCCCGGCGAGCTGCTCGTAGTGCGAGATGGCGGCGTACTGCTGCGACGGCGACCGGTAGCCGCGTAGGATGACCTCGGTGGGAACGTGGCGGGTGACCCGGGGCTCGGCGGCCGCGGGCGTGTCGTCGGCCGCGGAGGCCAGGAGGGGCGCCTGGGCGAGGCCCGAGGTCTTGCGCTGCGGGGCGGCGCCGGTGCCGGCAGAGTTCGGGCCGGCGCCCGTGTTCGTCGAGGCGGCCATGTTGTTATTGTTATTGCTGTTGGTGGCATGAGAGGAGATCCAGTCGCCAAAGATCTTGTCGGCGGCCGCTACCGTCGGGTTCTCGCGGCGGCCGGCGGGGGTTCCTGTCCGTGAACGCGATCGGCGCGTCGATTTGCCAAAGGATCCTGTCTCGGCGACGCCGCGGCGATTTCTCACGCCGGAAAGGCCTTCCTGTCTACAAAAAGAGGTCGAGGTCAGCAGGGATGTCATTTGCATGGATGCGAATAGACCTCGGTTCCGAATCGCGGAGGAAAGGAGACGTGAAGAAAACGTACTGTGGGAAAACCATGGCGTAGGGCCTCTTGACACCATCATCGCCAATGTATAGTTCCTCGTCGGGAACGTTGTGGAGGATAAGAGGAGCCATTGTGGCGTCGGTATTGGGAGTCCGCTGCCTTGAGGGGACACACAGCCAGCTGCCCGGTGGAGGTCGAGGAGAAGCTTGTTCGGGATGTTTCTATCGGACACGGCGCGCACAATCGCACTGTATTTTCTGCACGATGCAGTAAAGAAAAGTCGAGAAAACGAGCGTCTGTGTAGTAGCCGCCGAAGTGCTGTTATGCCTTTGGCGCGCAGAGGGAAGGGACAAAGAAATACCTTTGACCGTGTCAGATGGCATTCCACATAGCAGCGCCATTGGCGATGATTTTCTGATGCGAAAAGGCCGTGACCCAGCAACGGCGGAATATCTGGGTTGCCGGTCTCCGGGCATCCTTAGCTTCGTGGAGGTACCTACCCATGCCCTGGACAGCATGTCCGTGCGCCCGGGACACTGTGGGTCGAAACATATGGGATTGCTTACCTCAGCTTCCCAGCCGACTTTGACCTCAATCGTTATGTCCAGATGCTGAGGCGGATGTTCGATCACTTGAGACAGCACCATATAGTATGATCAACATCATCTAGTGCCCAATAAGATATTTCAAAACTTCTCGGAGACTCGCCTTCGAGTTATTGGTGCTATTATGCCACAGGTTGCTTCCCAGTGTTGTGAACACTAAAGCGCTGTATATTCTGTCCCATCCACGGACATGAACAAGTATAATTTGTGAAATTGCCTTCAGAGACCCCTATGCAGTTAATTCAATAATGTTAAAATAGGTCTATAATTAATCATAATCAAGACGTCTGCTAAACCACCGAGATCTCAATACTGACTCGAGAGAACCGATGCTGCATATTACCAAGTGTCAGGGAACTTAGGTGGTGTACTAAGCCCGTCCATAGACCGTTCAGGCAAATGCCCAAAAGATCAACCAATGTTGGCACTTCGTGCCAGCATTGCACCACACATACACTTATTAAGGAAAACCCCACTTATTCCCTTACACCAAGGTTCTCCATAATAGCATCTTCTAACAACAGATGGGGTTGTGTTGAGTATAGAGTATCTGTGATAAATCACATAGTTGCTTAGTATCGAAATACACTTGCTTAAAAGAATGTGGCATCATTCATTGGTTGATACCTTGTCTATTTGCATGATGCTGTGTCAATTAAAGGGCATGTGACAAATCGCTTTCGTAGGCTTAGCACTGTTGATTAGCACTGGTTTAAAGATTGTAGTTATTGTTTCTGATTTAAATTGAAGTAAATTTATAATAATTCAAAAACCGTTGAGCATCACGTTTCTTATATACAAGCATGTTCTGTTATTCTGCAAAAGAGGCATTTCCTTTGAGGAATGTATCACAATCTAGGTATTCAAGATAGATTTAGCACGTTCCTCGGGGAGAACCCGCAACTGAGCAATTTAGAAATCCCAGTGCTAGAAGAAAACGAACGAAGAAAAAGAACGAGCGACTGGAAAGAGGTGAAACTTCGACGGACTAAATTGGGAAGTACCTTCCTCCTCCAACCCGCCGTACGCACCAGGCAGACGAACTCCTTCCTCCCCGCCTTACCCTTATCCTACCCCTCGCGACTCGACACCTCCAAAAACACTTCAGTCACTCAAATCGTCCTGTCCGGACGTATAGTGTTTTCACCCCCGCATCGAAACTTGCCAAGCCGGCTCTTGTCTCTTTGGCAGTAATCACCATGTTTTACAGCCATGAGAGTTAGTCGGACCCCTTTGAAAGCTCACGGCCATGCAGCGCATCTCTAACATCTTGACAGTTCTCAACAGTCGCCAGTTCGGTGTTGCCACCATATGGTTAGTTGAGCCTCCATTTCTTAAAAGTGAGCAACGCTCATGTTCATCTTCAGGGTTGTCGCGACCGTTGGCCCACGCGGCGGCGGCAAACGCAAGATATCCCGAAAAGCAATCGAGGAGGTGGACATTCGAAAGGCTTGCGAGAAGATAATCGAGCCTGGAGCCCCCATCTCTTTACGTCTTCAGAGCAACCTACTCTTCGGCGTCTCACGAGTCTACTCATCGAAGTGTAATTACATGCTCAATGACGCCGAGAAGGTGCAGACCTTGATGAAGACCTTCTTCCGACTCATCGCCAACAATGAGACCGTCCCAAACGCTGGAAGAGCAAGGTAAAGTTCCCATCTGGGCTCTTCTCGGGCGTGCTGCTAACTGTGAAGATAGACGTGACCAGATCACACTTGGCGACGACCCAGGCTTTATTCCTACCAGTGTCATTCCGCATTTCACCATTGACGATGACGGTAATCCATGCTTCATTTCAGGAAGCCGCTCCTCATCGGGAGAGAAGAACAAGTCACAGTCGCAGCTCAGTCCCTTCCCCGATCCCATCGATTTCACTGGAGGTCGAGAAAATTCGGTTCTGCATCTCGATATCTCCCAGTCCTTTGAGGCTTTCAACTACCCATTGCCATCCCCATTTGCACGCTCCTCTTCCGCACAAAACACGTTCCTTCCTCGAAACAGAGAGGATTTGGAACTCGACATGAATGCGGACCCGTTCGATGCGATGAATGACCTTGAGAATTTCGGCGGCGTGGAACTGGAAATCGATGAAAATGGAGCTGTCATTGTGGATGAAGATGACCTCGAGCTGCCAGCCCTTGAAAGAGCCAATATGGGTTATGCCGAAGAGCTACCCCAGAATGAGGCGAATCCTAATCAGCAGCCGATTGTTCATGATTCCGAAGGCAATGTGCCTATGATGGGCAGCGACCCTATCTTCCAACCAGAGGATGATGCCCTTCAACTATCCGAGTCACCCAAAGGAGATCAGCGTGATCAGGCAGCTGCTCCGTCCAGGAAACGTCGACGGGTTATGAAACTTGACAACGAGGGTACTACGATCTCACGCACAGTCCTCAAGAGTTGGCAAGAGCAGTATGTTGAAAATGCGGAAAGAGCCACCCGTAAGCGGAAGGGGGTCACACAAAGCCAAGCTCGAAGTAATGCGTACTTCCTCACTCTCGGCCAGGGAATCGGAGGCATAGGCCGGAGCACAGGCATTCCTGGAACCGACTTCCCTCTTGCAGATATTTTCGCCGGCTCTGGTCTTCGCGACATAATCTACGGCCCGCCCAGCGCGCCACAAGAGGACGTGCAAACACCGTCTCCCCAAGGACGCCGGCGAAGAGCAAACGAGGCTTTTGGCGAAGCGGGTAGTGGAAGCGAAGACCGCAACGTGCGCCCGCGAGTTGACGAGACACCACGTCCAGGTGGCTCTATGGACGATGATGGAGGAGCCTTTGACATGATGTTTGGGGAAGAGACAATGCCGGAGATGGGAATGGAGGCTGCGCAGCCCATGGATGAGCATCAATCGTCCTCTATGATGCCCTGGAACCGGACACCGTCAGTGGGCCGCGCCTCCTCGGTCATCAGCCACAGTGCGCGGCGTCATGAGCAGGTCAACCGCCAAAAGTCTACTAGTATCCGCGGAAGCAGCATTCCTCCGTTCGAGCCGCTTCATAGCGCGCCGGGAAGCGACTGGGGCATAGCCTCCGTTGATAAGCTCGGCTCGCAGAACCCGAGACCAGAGGACTCAAACCCCGCCGGTTTCGCCGCCAACGCCGAGCAGGAAGGCAACAGCGACTCGCAGTGGATGCGGTCCACTCTGGACACAGCAAGCGAGGAGTTCTTGCAATGGGTAGAGGAGGAGGCCAAGAAGACTGGCCAGGTGAAGGTGGGAGACGACAAGGAGAATCGGCGTTGGGTCGAGTTTGAGGAGCTCATTGAGCCGGCGAAGCAGAACCACGTCGTCGCGGCCCAGGCCTTCCACCACGTTCTTTCACTTGCGACGAAGAACGCCATCTCTGTCGAGCAGCAGGTCGACAACATGCAACCGTTCGGCCCTATCCGGATCGGCCTCGACATGACGGCGCATCTCGAGAACCAAGAAGAGTAAGAGGGAGCGCCGTGTTTTTGAAGGAGCATCTCCGCAAGACATTTATCAGTCCAAGAAAATCCGGGTGTATTTTGCTTTGCGGTTTCTGGAGAGGCGAGGCGGGGGCGAGAGAGCGTTTTGACATTTGCGGAGTGGAATTCTTTTTCTTCGACATGGTATTACGACTGCGTTTGACATTCGGCGATTCCAAGGCAGCGAATTCTGCAAGGTTACTGGGCGGGCGATTTCTTTCTTCGAGAATGGACTGGGAATGGATTTGAGAAGACAACAATTGCTATTTCCCGGAAGATGGGAGCGCCTAGTTAGACTTGCTACACTACAGACCTTGCAGATTAGCTACATTCACAACAAGACATCATCTCATTTGAAAAAGAAAGGGTTTGTTGCCATTGGCAAGTCATCATCTTCATTACTTCGTACATATAGGTGAAACGCTACCAAAACATCTACTCGTAGACATCATCCTCGTCGCCAACGCCCTCCCGGTCCTCGAACTTCATGTACTGGGTGTCGGGATCGTCTGCAACAGGGCTCACGACTTTCGCCCAGGCCTGCCGCACCGGCTCGAGAGCCGTATCACTAAAAGCAAGATCAAGCGGTAGGCTTGGGAGAACGTCCGAGGCGTCCTCAGAGGCTGAGGAAGCGGCCTTGGCTTGCTCGTATGCCACTTTGTAGATGACATGTGGTTGGCTCTCGCCATCGCCGAGAGCAGACAACAAGGACGCCGAAGCCTTTTCCAAGGCTTCGGCCGAGTTGGCAGTCTTTGGTGTGACGAAGTAGAGTACGCCTGGAACAATGACAGAGTCAGTCATATGAAAAATGACGAATGATGCCAGTCAGAGTGTGAGAAGAAGGGTGTACATCAGTTTGTCAGAGGAATTGTCGTCAAAGCAAGGCTCAGACAATGTAGATAAGAATTTTACTGAAATCATCATGTACAAGAGGAAGAGACATGGGAATGAGGAAAACATGGCAAACTTACTCTGTCCAGATGGGCATTCGCCCGTCTCGCTCGAGTGAGCAAAGACGTAGATGGGGTATGGAAAGGTGACGTCCTGGATGGAGCCTGCCGGGATGGCGATGACAGCAACGGCTGGCGTGGGCGCTCCCTCGACGCGAGTCTCGAAGAGAGACGAAAGCGGCGAGTTGACGACAGCTATCGTTCTGCTCACACGCTGGCTGTCAGAGGCGACATCTTCGGCGCCACGAACCAGCGCACGGGATTTCACCGTAATATCGCTGGTCAAGTCGACCTCGAAGCGGGCGCCGTCTTCCTGCACGTCAAGTGGGCGTGTGGCTCTCACACCAGTGCCCAGCATGTAGACTGCGCCGCCAACGGCACATGCGCGGCAGCCGACCTGCGCGATCTCAGAGAGGCCGCCCCATTTGGGATACACCGCCGCGAAACCCGGTCCAAAGGCACCCATTGACGAGAGGTGCCTGTGGATGGCCGCCAAGCCGTCCTTGGTTGAGATCCTCCCGTCTAGGCTCAGCGTCAAGGTGACGATGTAGGTCTGCAGTGCAGCATCCAGCTTAAAGTCTGAGGCCAAGAACTCCGACAGAGGCTTGTCGGCGTGTGGAGTCCAAGTACCTCGCTGCTCCTCCGAGTTGTAGTCCAAGACAAACTTCAAGAACTTCATAAGCGACCGCTTCGCCTTCGCGGAGATGGCAGTAGTCGAGAAGACGGCCTCACGGCTCGAGGGGATCGGCACGATTGTGGCTCTCCCGTCTTCGGATCCACTGGAGGGGGTATAGATGAAGAAAGACCCCACGGCGAGGAATTCGATCTGCCGAAACGCACGCGAGGACACCAGCTGCTTGACCAGCTCGGAGCGGGTGTGTATGATCTGCGGCGCGAGGGCGAGAGAGTAGGCTCTCGGAAAGGAGAGCGAAGGCCCAGAGCCGTCCGCGACCTCGGGCTTGCTCACGGTCGCGGACGAGAAAGCACGCGCGGGGCCGACGTCGTCAGCGTCAGCATGCGTTGCAGCCCATTCCTCGATCTCTTGCAGACCAAAGGCAGCTTCGGGACCGCCGTAATATTCGTTGGGGTCGAGATGCAGGATTTGCTTTCCGGACCGCGAGAGCGCTCTTTTTTACGGCCGGAGAGGGCTGCGTCAGTCAGATCGAGGCTTTTCTGGGAAAACAACGATGCCGGACGTCGAGGGAGAAGTGCAAAGATGCAATACAAGGAAGAGGGGTAGAAAAAAGAGCTTACAAGGCTAGCAGCGACTGCTGCAGGCCAGTGCCGTGGAGTATGACATCCCACGTCTGCTCGGCCAGCGACTCCATGGCAATGGAGGAGAAGGAAGGTTCAGAAGGAGGAGGAAACCGAGGAGAAAATTTGCGAAGAAGCTTTCAGGTGAGGTTAGAAAAAGAGAGAAGATTGACGATCGGGTCCACGGTGGGGACAACGGAAGCTAATGTGTGCGAACATCACTACGGACACTGTGCATCCGACACTGTCCGCGCTTCGTCTAAAAATTTCAGCGCTCGCTAGCGCGGCGCCTTTTTCTCTCCTCCTTTTCTTCACCATCCGCCCGGTAACCCAGCCGCGAGTCACATTCGGTAGATTCGTGGTTCATGAGGGCCTTTCATTAGGCTTCCTCGTCGCCGGGCGGTAGAAGGAATATTTCCCTAGTATCTACTGCCTTGGAATCAAGTCTGAAAAGGTGGCTCGAATTGTGGAATACATATCTTGACCGCGAAGCGGCAGCACCAGCAACAGCAACATGACTATGACTTGTCTATTTGTGCAACTGTGCCTCGTTTCCCGAATGGAAAATGCAACGAAACCCTGTTTGCTAAGCTGATCCGATTGTTCCGAGAGCACGTCAAACGGTCTTTGTCGTAGCTGATGGTTCTATACCCAGCCAAGTCTTTCTCAACCCGAGGCGAAGCAAGCGGACTGTACTGCCCTCCCAATATTCACCTCACTCGTTCCCCGTTATTCTTGCAGTGCTAAGCCGTAATCATATATCAGACGCCGCCTGGCCATGAGCGGTTAGATGCATATGTTCATGCCGTCGACAAGCCGTTGTGGTATCACCATCGCATCTCTTCATCGCATTACGAAAACCCCATCAGTTGTCGGAGTCGGGTTCTCCAGTGCCGACCTCCTTAGTCTGATCCGGTAGCTCTACTGCCATAGCAACATGTTTGCCAACGGCACATCCTTTGCTCATATCCTTTTCGGCGTTGCAGCAGCTGAGGATGCGCAGAGCGCTGGGCTTGGCCGTGAACTCGTGGGCCGCCGTCTCCAAGGGATCGAACCAGATGAAGCCGTCCTTCTCGCACTCAATCAACCAACGACCTATCGGTATTGGGACTTCTGTCAGAACTTCTCCATTCCAGCGGAAACACCAAAAAAACAACTTGATGGGATATTCTTTGTGACCGACCTGTGTGGTAGGAGCATGATTTGCTCAGGTTCTTATTCTCCTCGTACGGCTTCTCGCACATCCTGCATAGCTTGATGGTACGCTTGATGGTCTTGGCCGCTTGGCTCGAGCCCTGAGACACCTCGGACGACGCGCGGGTGGACGAACGACTGCTGCGCCGGGTTGCGACGGCTTCGGCCTCCTGGCTCTTCTTCTCGTCGAGGTAGTTGAGGACGCCTTCGACGTGGTTGCGGGTTGTCGCATGGCCGCAGACGGCGACGAGGATCTGGAAGAGCTCCTCCTTCGAAGCCTCTCCAAGTCGAGCGTTGATGGCGGCCATGGTTAGGAGGCAATTGATTTTATTTCTCCTTTTATTTCTCCCCCTTTTTTTTTTTTTTTTTTTTTTTTTTTTTTTTGCCTCTGAAGTAGGGATCGTTGACGAGGAAAGCTGTAAGTGGGCTGTTTCGTGTTTGCAATGTGCCACGCAATGTTGTGTGGGAGGTGAGGCCCATGCTGGCCAGTCTGAAAGAAGAGAATTGTTGTTGATGAGCTCATGTAGGTATGCGCCTGTCTTCTCACGCTTTTTGCACCATGTGTGGCCTGATGAATCAAAGGCGGGCAGGCCAATGCTCACGAAAGAGATCTCCGTTTGCCATCCAGGGATTGGGTTGCAGTGCTAAAAGGAGAAATGCCAGAGGAAACAACTATCCCCCCTCCAAAACTTTCTTTGAATTGTGTCTTTCCTTCCTTGGTGGGTATCATTATCTTCATGCCATGGCGTTCCTAAACTGCTCCCATCTCTGCTCTGCGACACCAACGAACTCCCGAATGAGTTGTGGCTGCAGCACTGTGCCTCCGTGCTTCGATATCGACAGCAGCTTGGTCTCCCCCTCGCTTCTGTCCACCACCGCCGTAACCTCCTCCTCGCAGAGACTCTCCTCCAACCTGTCAGGGTCGATCAGTGTCCAGAACTTGCCACCAGCGGGACGATCCGCCGTCTCCTTTCCTGTGAAAACGCCGGCCGTGCAGGCGACAGGGAAGCCGTGCAGCGTCAAGGGCTTGGGCTCGTCGCGTGAGCAGATGACCATCTCGCGATCGGGGTCCCAGCGGGCGATGGGGATGGTTGTATCTCGCAGCGCAGCAAGGATAGCGGCCCAGGCAACGTCGAACGGGTTGCCGTCGAAAGAGATGAAGAAGATGTCGATGTAGAGGACCCAGTATGCCATGATGACCCTTTCGCCCTCGGCCTTCTCCTCGTCGTCGTCCATCATGTCGTCATCGTCCTCGGCCTCAGCATCCTCGGCTGGACGAGTGTACCATATTCTCAGATCCTCGGGGTCGACGAGTCTGGAAGAGTGCAGCAGCGAGTACACTCTCGTGCTCAAAGTCTGGGCGAGGTTTGTAGGAGGTACGCCAGGAAGGAACTGCGGCGCGCAGCCGGTGGCGAGCTCGATGTTAGGGACGAGTAAGTCGTAGTCTTTCAGCTCGGAGCTGGGTTTGGTCTCGTCGATGTTGGCGGCGGTACGGAAGTTGGGGATGTCGGAGGCGAGGATGGTCTCGGCGCGTACGCCACAGATGGCGGTGGTGTCACCGGTTCGGACTACGGCGCTGCCGTTGGCATGAGTCAAGCTAGAGGTGTTGATGTTGGGAATGCGGGCTTCGTTGGGCGCGCGGCCGTTGCTTCTCGCGGCGTTGGCGGGCGCAGGGGGCTGAAGGTTTGCGAGAAGGAAAGGGTGGGGGGAGAGCTTTGCGAACGTGTCGCGCGGAAGGCCCTTTGAAGAGGCCATAGCAGTCGAGTATGTCTGGTTAATGTGAAGGTCAAATTTTGTCTCAATTGAGGCGTGAGTCGCTTGCTTGAGACAGGACCAAGGTGGGATGAAGTGAGAGCTGGAAATTTTGGGACGAGTCGGGAGGTCGGCGTTAGTGGCTCCGGTGGGGTCAAAGCCGCCGGGCGGTGAAGGGAGTGACCACCGGCAACGTAATAACACACCGAATTTGGCAACCCATCTGTCGGCTCCGGCCACAACCCCACGGGCCGCCGATGTGCAGGTCGCCCTTGCACGCGAACCTTTTTCTCCCCTAAATGGAGCTGCTCATGACTATTCCTCTCATTCGCCCTATCAAATACCTTGCCACATAGTCCATGCAAAAGGACGTTCCTCCATGTGCACCTGGAGATGGTTTCGCAATGCAAACGCCCTTTTGTATTTCTTGGGATAGAGGGTGTATGGGTACTTGGCGGAATGTTTTTGGACTGTGCCCATGGTCACTCCTATCGGAGCTTCGATTTAGGGTAATTGAAGCAACTTGTGGTGATTTGATGCCGATTTAAGTCTCCAGGAGTGCCGATATGGGATGCAATTAATACCTGCTACCAGCAAAGGCGTCCTATAATACCTGGGTGGCTCCTCATGCCATCCTCCGCAACCGAGTCAAACCCGGCTTCGCGGGTGATTATCTACCTAATTAAAGGGTATCTGACAACCTGTCACATCCTGCGACCCATTTCCTGTCTGTACTTTCACACTACGCCCTTTCATTCCTTGCCACACCTGACACATTGATTTTCCCTTCACAATCTCTCTCTTGACCGCACTTTCCGCTGCAGTCTCTTTCTTCACCCTCGTCAGGAACAATAAAAAAATAAAAGCCGTTGCCGGCCATGTGGCTAGAAATGGCATGTGAGCCTTGGTCTGTATCGCTACAAATTCAACCGCTCCCAGCCATACTCAGCTTCAACGTTATAACCACCATGGGTTCTGACAAGCTATCTACAGAAGTCATTTGCAGTGTCGTCTTCGTCACAAGCACCAGCCCACGTAGTTGGCCCGAGTAAGCGATGATGAAAATGCTGCCATGAAACCATATATATGGTAGGTACATCGATACAAGAAAAACATTTGTGGTTTAACATACCAAGAGTAGAGGATAGCTGTTGACAGAAAGCATATCAATAGTTGTGTCCAGCAGCAAGATGCATTTTGGCCAAGACAATACTTGTGGTAACAGAAGGCTCAACACCCAAATCTCATCGGCTGCCAAGTCGCTTCCCTTTTATCAAGACCCGGATGCCTATCTTATACCCGTTTTTACTCCTTATTTCAGTCAATACTTCGCCATGTAATTAAATATATACACCTAAATCTTCCAGCCTACCATGACCATTAAAACTATCATTCAATGGTGATTGGGTGGCTGAATCTTGATATTAATCTGCGGTAACGCGCTAAAAGCGTTCGGCGTGTCCCGGCTAATAGTTGTTATTGATCTATGTCGTATTATGAGTTGTTGATTCAATGTATTCATGATTGTAGGCGAGTAACGCTCCTAATAAGAAATGGTACGGAATAATCGATAAGGGTGTTGCGAGTCTGCACTTAGTCGATATATACTCATTGTATCTGTTAGCATATGGGTAATGCGGCTGGAGGCGGTAGGTCACGTGACGCACCACCTACCAGCAGAATCCCCACTCTTGCCCACACGCAAGGGTGCTACTATACTTATGCTCCTACTTTACCTTGTTAACTAGTTAACTATTAATAACTATAAATTTAACTACCTTTTCTTAACCTTTGTAATATTATAAGATATAAGATCCTATTAATTAGCTAGTAAAAACTAATATTAATTAATAGTTAATTATTACTAATAACTAGTAATTAATAAGGCTTACTATTATAGGAGTTTACTTAGCCTACTATAACCTAGTAGACTACTAACTAAGTTAAGTATTATTAAGGCTACTTTACCTCTATAAGAAACACTATAGTGTCTATTATACTATTAGAACCTCTTTAATAAGTAAAAATCTCTTTTATACTAACTATAGCGTTATTAAGAAGAGACACTTAAGTAGTAATAATTACTACTTTACTTAACTTTTTTTTTTATATTTATATTTACTTCTTTAGAAAACTATCTTTATTTACTTTATATATATAAAACTAACCTAGTACTATCTAGACTTATAAGTATAAGTTATATTAAAAAAAAAACTTACTACTTAATTACTACTATAAAAGTTATATAGTAATTACTACTAATTAACCTTAATAACTAACCTTATAATAAGTTAACCTAGTAGTACCTTATACCCTAAGGTGCTTACCTTTATAGTAAAATATATTAACTATAAGAAGTATAGCTAAGAAATCCTTTTTAATAAGTAAGACCTTTTTACTATTTACTTTTACTTTACTTATTATATAGCTAAATAGGCTAAATATACTCTTATAGGTTATAAGCTTTAGAAGGACTTTTAATATTACTTTAATAGATAAGATAAAGCCTTCTTTAGTACTACTAGTAAAACACTACTATTAATTTTTTATAACTTTCTTCTTAATTAAAGTATCTATATACCTAAAGACTATTAATAAATTACCTTATACCTTATTACTATTATTAATAATAATAAGTTTTATATATAAATAGATAAAGAAGTTAAAAAAGTATAATATAAGTTAATAATATTTAATAGGCTTATTAAAATATATAATAGCTTCTTAAATAATATTTAATATAGTTATATTAGCCTAAAGTAGTATAAGTAAAAATAGTAATAGTAACCTATTACCTATATAACTAAATAAAGCCTAGTAATATTTATAAACCTTAAGTAATAACTAGTAATAATATAGGCCTAACTTAATAAATAAGTATAAAAGTTATAGTAGTAAAAGTAGTAAACCTTAGTATTACTATAGTAGACTTAATCTATATAAGATTTACTACTTTTTTTATATAATATAATATAAGGACTATTTTAATAAAGTAATAGTCTATTATTCTTCTCTACCTATTATTAATTACAGTAGAAACCTTTTACTTACTTATACACTAATCCTATAGAACTCTAAGGTATAGGATAGCTACTGCTAATTAAAAGTAGTACTACTAGTAACTATTCTTTTCCCTAGTAATTAGGTACCTTAACTAAGATTATTACTAATAAATCTAAGTATACTAGTAAAATATATAATATACTTAATATTAAGTTAAACTTATTTATAATAACTATAGTAAAATTAGTATTAAAAGACACTAAATAGTATTAGCCTTTTTATTAATACTTAAAGGTAAAGCTTTTACTTTTATTTTACCTAAATTAGTAGTAAAATATCTAAGACCTTACTACTATAGTTGCCTAAATAAAAGCTTACTTTAAGAGCCTTAAAGCTATTTAAATATACTTTACTAAGTAGTAAAATACTACCTTTTACTATATTATATATAATAACCCTAAGAAAAGTAAGCTTAAAGTACTTAAGAAGCTTATTAATAAACTTACTTTTATTTAATAAGTGCTACTTAATAGCTACTATAATAATAAAGTCCTTTAATCCTAGCTATTAAATACTTACTCTAGAGTTTATAAGTATAAATTATACTTATTTAATCTAGTGCTTATATTAGAAGAAGTCTATAACTAATATAGCCTTCTTACTAGCTATTGTAGATCTAACAGGAGAAGTAAGGCTATAATAGGCAATATAAAGTAATATAGTGCAAAGGTAAAGTGTAACAGTAGAGTAGTAAAACAAGGCAAGTAATAATAAAAGCTAAATAAATAGCATAAGACAAAAGCTAGGTATCTATATAGGTTATCTATTAAGGTTACTTTTCCTTATAAGAGGAAATAGGTAATAAGATATATACCCCTAGGCATATACCTAGATATATACTAATAAGGTAATCCTATGTCCTACCTATCTATCTACTATATAAGGCACTTGTCCTATAATAAGTGCTTTCCCCTAAAGGACCTTGTCCTCTTCTACTAAGAAAATATACTAAATAGTAGTATATATAAATATAAAGTATAAGAATTACCTTTTTTCCTATATAATAACCTTATTACTTATTATCTCTAAAGTTCTATTAAGATTATTTAGCCTTTAGTAGTACCTAGGCTAAGTTATTATTATTAGTGTTATAGTAGTATTATTAGCT